CAGCTGAATGACGTTCTTCGCTATATAGTCACAATCTGCTTTTATATTCGTTTCGTTTTATCAAGAACAATAAATTCGGGGAGGATGTTAATGTTGTTGCTGTTGTTGAATAAATGACAGCCTTTTTTTATAATAAAAACCAAGTGTGATTATTGTAGAAGAAAAAAAAACAACATATGTGACTATGTTTTATCTTTTGATGTAACGACTACTCTTTGCGTTCTTTCAATGGAATTTACTTGGATCGGTCGTTGGGCTTAAACATATGTGTGATTATGTAAATTCACGACATAAAAATTGAAATCCATGCAATTAAATAAAACTGTTAAATTGAATAAAAGTTCAAGGTCGTCACAAATTAATTTTATACTTATTCAAAAATTTGCGTTTGAAATATGTATCAAATACACTTTAAGTTAAAAATCGTGTTCATATTTCCAATTAAGTTGTCACATTTGAAGAGTATTTGAAATTTGTATTTTTTAAACGTTTTTTTTAAATGCACTTGTTTTTTGTCTAAAGAAGAACAAGAATTCACTTATATTCATATCACTCACAGGTATGAATTCATGTATGGATGCAACGATTGGTGAAAGGCCGGATCGTCAATGCACCAAAAATTAATTCCGGGCGCACCAAGTGATATTTTTGAACTGTGCTCCGAATACAGATATCATTGAGGTTTATAGGCGATTTCAAGCACGATAGCCGTTAGCCAACACGTTGCCACTCATATAATCGCTACGTTCACAATACAGACACAGACTGTTTTGCACTATTGATATCATCAAATCATTCACTCTCTCTCTCTCTCTCTCTCTCTCTCTCTCTCTGTATGTCTGTCTCTCGCTCATTCGCTGCCGTTTTAGTCTTTATCGTACTAATACGTGTTACCTGGATATAGCAGATTCACAAAAAAATAACACTGAAAACACCGTCGATCGCATCAACCGCAACAATTCTACACTTTTATATTCATAAGATCACACAAAAAACGTGAGAGAGGAGCGAATGAAACAATGAAAAAGATGGGCCGATTTTTTCATGTTTATCTTCAATTTAACGGCAAAATCTTGTGTTCGTTTTAAATTTGCAAAAAAAAAAAAAAAAAAAACAAATAACAAAACGAACTGTAGACAATATAAGAATCTGTTGTTGATCGATCAATCATTGTTTTATACTGAACAAAAAATAGGCACGCCGAAGGTGCAAGCTAAATTAAGACCGTAATTTAGGTGAATATTTGTGCAGTAATTACATTTTCTTTGTTATAAACAAAAATTGTCACTCATTTGAGCATGAGTTTAAAACACCTTTATCAATTTTTTGCGATAATCTCTCTGAGATTAATATTTACCATATCGTTTTTACTTTGATTTCTAATTAACACATCGATGAACAATAGAAAGTTTTTATAATTTATTTATATGGTACAATGTTATCGGATTCAATTAATGATATAAGCATAATATTGCAATTCAAATGAGCTAATACAAATAAGGAAGGAACTTTATTGAAGAAAAAACATTGTCACCGATCGTCACTGCGACCAGTCTTAGACTATGCGAACGTAACTAGTTAATGTGCTTTCCACGAACTATGGTGTTCAAGCAAGATTTATGTGAGAGAAAATACGACCATTTTTGGCAAAGAAAGTGATCCATTAATCAATTAATTATGAGAATATTATTTCAGTTTTTTTACACTCATATGCATCATTAACAAGGTTTGTGCGAAAAATGATTCATCACTTTATTCATCTCGAAACGGTTTCATATTTATTAATATGCATACACTTTTGAAAATGACTTAAAACTGTATTTACTTACCTTTGGATCTGAGACACCTATACTGATTGATGACAATTTCTTAGTACGATATTGATACCATTCTTTGAATGTGTGCCGAACATATTTTTTACATGCCATAATGGTAATAGAACACAAAAGATAAACAAAAATGTCTGTTATTTGCATTGCAATTAACGATGAACTCATCGCCTTGTTCGTAGCAAATTCATTAATGGGAAATAACAGGCGATGGATAAAAAGTCCAATTTTCTTTCAAGAATTTATAGTCTTATATTGAATACCATTTGTAGCGCTTCACAACGCTTTCTTATTAACCAATACTACGGAAACTTATGTAATTTATGACTACAAGTTATAGAGAATGCATTCAAATAATACATTTCATTTCAATATGTTTGAAGCTTGACGTAATCTATTATTCTCATTTGCTTTGTGTGTGCGTGTGCCAATTGATTAGGTAAAATCGAAATTGTTTACATTATCGAAGGCATCTTTGAAAACAATTCACTTGCCTGTTGATTCTTTATCCAACCGCGCAAATATTGATCAATCTATATCGATAACCAGAAATAAATCGGTTACTTACTCTATAAAAAAGAATAAAAGGGTCCCATCACAAATTTCGCATCAATAGATCATTACAATTAGCGAAGATTATTAATTTTCGGTGCTAAATAAAAAAAATGCTTCCAATTTGAAAAACATCAATTGATTCACAAACATTGAAAAAAAAGTCAAATGGAAGAAATTAAATAACTTTTAAAATTTTTATATCACGACGTGTTTTTATTTTAGCTCATTTACATGCAACTTCCAAATTACAGAGTTAGAATTACATTTCAATTGCTTATCATCTTGCATTGTCACAACGATCATTAATGGTCCCGCATTTCATTACAGTAGTAAGTTTTTTGTTCTGTTATTTGTTTGCATGTTGTTGTTTTTTTCTCATTTTTACCGAAACAAAACATAATTTGACCGAGTTGGCGGCGATCGTAATTGAAGTGACAACAATGCTGCTCAAGTGGTTGACTCAATGAAATGCAATAAACTTTCAAAAGAAATGAATTGCATCATGTTCAATCAGGAAGGTGTATAATAGTGAATTTGTTGCCATCTATACATATTTGTTGACACCTATAGCCTTCATTGATCCACTTAAAGGCAATTATGATGTTCAACAACGTTGATTAAGTTACTCGTTGTGATAAGTATCAATAAGTGTATCGTCATATGTTTCCCGATTTGATTGGAAACTTTTTTGAATTGATTCAATTCAAGGTCTGAAAAAAATTTAGTTCATTAAAAATGTTGTCAAGATAAAAATTATCGGTAGAATTTTTTCGCACCTTATCAAATGGCTGTTTTTGTCGAATGACATAATTCGAAACAAAAAAAGTAACTCCTGTAAATAATTCGTAGGTAAGACTTGGCGCCGATTTCAATTCAGAAGACTACCATATCTCCAAACAAAGAACTTCCAACAAAGTAAAATCGACGCACATTTCACATTACATTTCCATCATGCGGTTGATAAACAATAATTGCAACATCCCAACAATTTTCAAAGATGTCGACGCGAATTTATTTTTTAATAAACCCGTCAAATCTACGGACATTTTCGTTTAAAAATATGATGATATTATTTGCAATAATGAAATTTATGAATAACGATTTAAATTAAATAAAAATGTGTCACAATGGGTGTCTGGAATTTCAATTGGTTGTAACGGACAAAAATCAATTGATTTTGGAGTTTGCAAAGAAATGTGAAAAAGTATTTTATATGCATTTAAATGGTATTTTGTTTAAATCATCTCATCTCATTGATCAATCAAGCTACAATGCGAAACGCTGACAAGAAGGTCTATATTATCAAAGCAAATTCATTGTGAAAAAATGAATGTGATATATATACACGCCCCGAACTTTTGAAACAGTATCGGTGTTATCAATCATGTCATTCATGGGAACGAAAATTTTGCTTTAAAAAATTTAAAGGAAGTGCACTAACCTCAAACTTTAATGTGTATACTCTACGTTCTATTCATATTTGATTGTATTGGAATTGGTAAATTGTATTTATTAAATTATTATTTTTTTCAATTGAAAACTGTTGAAAAGAAGAAAAACATGGGGTCAATCACGAAATTCTAGTGCATCTAGTTTTTGATAAGATTTCACTAGAAAACTAGAAAATTCTAGTGCGTGAAGTTGGCTCTCAGTAGTTTTTCATATGAATTATATGGCCTTTGGTGTGAAGTTGGCTTCGTCTGTGACGTCATTCTTCGCACTAGATTTACTAGTTTTTCTAGTATTCACTAGCGTGATTCGCCCCATGAAGAAAAAAAATCGGTTGAATCATGTAAAATTGCCTGAATGTATGTTTTTCATCAAGTTTGTCGTCTCCACTCATTAAAGTATCTAATATGAATAACAATTGAGCTTCTATGGCACTGGAATCTTTTTATTCAAATTCAAATTAAAATGCAGTAACTCCTATAAAGTGTTAGTATGTATATGTGAAGGTTAGGTTATAAATGTATTTGAAATTTTTCGAACGAAAAGAACATACCCCAATGAAATGTGACAGATCAACTATCCGAATTCGTAAACATAATGAACAATAATGGTATTTGTAGCTTGTGCAATTTAACGGTCATTTTCCGCTCTACAAAAGTTGCTTGAAATCACCCCATCCCATTAAAAAATTTCCAATTGCAATCAATCCGAAATTTGTTTGTTAATCAACGTCTGCAAAGAACGGTGAGAGAATGTATTTATAGTCTTGTAGAAAATAAAATATTGCATTTGGCTAGATTATTCATTCATTTTTCTTTTTCTTTTGTTGTTTGTTCTGTTTTCTTTTTTATGTGCTCATTCTGTTTGCTGGTGCACTGTTTTTTTTTTCACTCTCATTGCATCTGCTTACGTATGTGTGCGCGCAATTTTTCCGCCACGTTATTTCTCGGTGGAACTTTTGAGAAACAAGAGGAGAAAAATTGGTCAATACCACAGCAACGTATCAAACATATTTGAATTTGTATTCGAACTAAACGTATATGTGAGTGTATGTATGTGTGAATTTCTATACGTCTATACGAATTTGTTTGTATGATCGCGGCTTGAGTATTGTACCGTTCGTGTATGTGTCTACTATTTTAGAAATATCGTCACAATTCAAAGTTCATTCCGGTGGAATTGACTGTTTTAATTTCATTTTTGTCTTGTGGTAGTTTCTATTTTCTGTGTGTCTAAATTGACATTAATTTAATCACGTTATTGAAATCATTAACAATATCGGATTACGTTCAAAATTTCATTCAAAATAATTGAGATTTTCGAACACTTTCTTCGAGTAAGTATATAGCAAAGTGATTGATAAGAATTGTTTTTTGTTGATTTTGAATGTGATGCTTACCTTTCATTTTTTTTGTCACATGAAATATGATAAAAAGTGCTTTGTCAGAAATATTGTTGTGCCTGAAGTTTGTTGGTTTTATTTAAATATCTCATTTTCGAATGAGAAACAAAGTGTCACACCTCAATAAAGTGAAACACATCATGATCAAATCAATCAAATATCCTTTTAAAGTATAATTTCTTACCTCCTATATTTTCAGTTTGACAATTACGTCAATAGAGAAGAGTAAGCGCTGCATCGCATGATATTCAACCGATACTCATCCTAACATACATTCAAGTTTTGTGGAGTGTTCGTACAGTGTGATTCAGTCTTGGACCGTGCGTTCAACAGAACCAAAGATATATAAATTTATATACACATATGCTCAATGAGAGAAAATAAAACAAAAAAGTGCTTACAAAACTCATAAAAAAAAGAAGTGAACTGGAAATTCGTCAACAATTACTTGTACTTTATGCTTCATAGAGCTAAGAAATAGCAAAAAAAAAACCATCATAATTTGTCTAGTTGAGTGTGGTACAATAATTTGTGTTCATTGTTTCGAGAATATATAACGCACCATTTTTTTTTATCTTATTGCACAAAACGTGTATGACTGTTCAAAAACAACAAACAGAGACGACAGTGTAATTCTTGTGAGGACAAAGACACATTAACAAAGAAGTTGCTAATTTTTTATTTACGAAAAAAGAAGACCTTTGTTTCGGTGGAAGTGTTTCAAATCGTATTTAAAACTTGAACAATCAGGACCTTAGAATAGGAACGAGCGAGCGAGAGAGAAGCCGATATCTGGTCAAGGTGAGTCTATGTCAGCCTCAAGCCAACTCTTGAATACAGTCTAATAACAAAAGTGATTTATTCAATTGTTTGTGCGCAATAATGATCAAATGAGAATCACTTATTAGAATATTCCATGCACACTTCGTATCGCTTTGAAATTGATCATTTCTATCGATGGAAACACGTCGCACCATTTCATCAGAACTAGGCATCGCATTTTATTTTGTTTTTGCTATGTGATGATGACATTCTGTCAAGTAAATATTCTACAACGTGACGCATACATTCTTTTTTATCGATAAATATTAATTTTATTGTGTGTCGGACTTTTATTAATTGGATTTGAAATTGAAGTAACGAATTATGGCATCTGAGACCTAGGTTAATAGAATCTAAAATTTAGACTATTCAAAGGCCAAGAGGCGATAGTGTACTTTCAAAAAATTGCAAACCATGGTTCGAGGTGAAAGAAATAAAAAATATTTCAAAGTGTGATTACATAAAATTCGCGTGAAACATCGTCAAACATTGTGATTCAGAAACTATTTGTATAAAGATTTAAGGTCAATATTTATTGATTTGGAAGATTCAATTTTTTTTTTTTTTTTTAATAATTTATAAAAGTGATTCATTTTGATTTAAATAAATAAAATTCATTGTTTATTAAATGTGTTCAAACATCAAAGAACTAGCATTATCCCTCACATAAAACCATGTGTAGCTTCAGAAAGTAGCGTGTGACAATTTTGACCGTTGTGAGTGTGTTTATTTTCATTTTTTCTCTCTATCTCTCAATGTATACAATACAACAGAAAATAATCGTACGATTTTAATACAATGAAACATTCAATAGTGATACGTTCGTGTTGACTGTCTGCTTTTGAGCGCTGTATCAATGTGTGCGTGTGTAACATACATAATGTGTAGAGCATGAGAGTATGAGAGGGGAAAGAAGAATTTAGAAGTCTATTGATCCCTGTTTACTAGTGCGCCATGCCAAACAACATGACGTAGCGCATCACGCCACACCGTCGAAAATGTTACGCGATATGTTCTGATTGGTTCGAATAACAATTACACACGTACATCAACAAACCCGTCTGACTCAACATTGTACATATACGTGTGCATTGCATACTGACACATCGCACCGTATTCCATTGTTTTTGTCAAAAGTTTTCTATGTTTTTTCTTATTCTTCTTTGATTTATGCGGCGGCCTTTATATTTATTTATACATTACGGACAGAATCACGATATTTTTAACTTGTTTGGATATAGTTTTATGATTAGAAAATGTTTTTGATTTTGAATATATCCTCTCAGTGGCTCAAAGATCAATTTAATTTCTTCTTTTTTTTGCTTTTGAAATAATAATTCTTATCAACTAGATGCTTTTATTCATTCAGCTCACATGCTCGATAATAATATTGTTCAAACAACTACACGCACACAACGAAATTGACCTCTCTCATGGGGGTAAACATCGGATTTAAGATCCGTCAAAGATAGGAACAAAAATGTTCACTATGATCTTCGAACAGATCGGTTGTAACGTTATTCATCAGTAATGATGTTCGATTTCAAATGATTCATTATTATTTACGTTGGTGTATAACCCCTAGACCTCTATCATTTATATACACAATTGCATTACGTGTGCTTGTATAATGAGAACAGTCGTACGATTCTCTTGTGAACATTGTACTTTGGAGCAAATCGCGTGTTCGCTTTTTATTTCTTTATTATTTTCATTATAGCATACACATAAGCGAATGGTTGTGTGTGTGTGCGTGTGTGTGTAAGAGAACGAGGATAAGTAGTATAATAGTGAGCGAGAGAAAAAAACCGCGTGGCTTAACTGTTTGTCATTTCATATCTAACGGAAAAATATTTACTCAATACATACGTACAGACAGCGTGCTCTTTTAATTTATTCGATTATATATTTAAGTGATATAGACCTTTTTTATGTGGGTTTCAAATGCGACTCATCGATATCACTTGGTTAAAACGTTATAATTTTCGGAAATGTAACCACACTATTCGCCTCTTCTTATGACACATTTGTGATTTATGTGAAATTCTCATTTGGATAGTGAATTATTCGAATTTATTGAATGATTTCAGACAACATTTTTTTTACATAACAATCAACATCTACAATCAAAATGTCTATTTACATTCCACAACTTTCTGGTTGTAGATTTTTTTTTATATTTATAGAGTTGATCACAGTCTGTGATTCATTGATCAGTTGTAGCAACAACTATTATGTCTGTATTGAAAGACCATTCAGTCTAAATCATGTTGTTTTTCGATTATTAACTGTGTGCCGGAAAGTGGTAGGTCAGTTGAACTTTTTTTTTTGGCAAAACATCGATGAGCAATCAAGTTGTTTGATTTGCATTTGTCGTCTGTTATATTTTGCCGAATAAAAAAGATTAAATTAGATAAAAAACGGACATAGTGAGTGTCTTACTTCTCTTAGCTATAGACGACAGGAAAGAGGAAATGCTTTTTTTTGAATATGAATCATATATATACGTACATAGATTTAATTATTTTTCGTCAGCAATTTTACGGTTTGGTTTTGTGTATTGTACATTACCAAAAATAGTTCTCATGGTTGTTTTGCCAGAATAAATTAGTAACAATTAAACAAGCAATGGTGGTGATGGTGGCATCGAAACTAAAACATATTTGGAAATGCTTCTTTTTAGAATTCAATTATGGAAATAAACCGACCCAATAGAGATCTTTCTTGTTACGTGTCACTCTTTTTGGTACTGATGATTACCATTATATATAAAGTGCTCAACGAAAAGAAAACGATTTTAATTTATTTTATACTGGCATGATGCCAAGTGCATCCCATATCGAGAATCCTTTGATACAAGAGAAGAAAACTACACAAGTAGCCTTTGATATAAAATGATTTAATATATTTTGAAATCATGTTATACTTGCTTTTCAAAACAGATATGGTTTTGTGACCAAATCATAAGTTATGACTCATGACTTGTATCAAAATGTACAAATCAAAAATATGAACGATATCTGAACTAAAGCAAAAATGATGCGATGATTTAGAAAAATGTATTTGCAACAAAAAAAAAAAACGGTTTTCACGCCAGAGAATATGCAAATTTCTTTGCAATTTAAGTGCGAATTTCAATTATTTCGCAAATTTTCATGTGGTCGCTTATAAATTGCGCCAAAAACGTTGAACTTTTTGTTGTTGCCGTTGAATTTCCATCAATACCAATGCTTACCATAATTTCTCTATACTTTATTGATTTGAATTTCGAGATGAATTAAATGGTTTTTTTTTTTGGTTTTTATATGAACTTGTGCCATTTCTGTTGGAACACCCTTTAAATGAAATGAAAGAAGAATATGCTAGAAGTACAAAAAGAGAACAAAAGAAGAAGAAGATCGCAATTTCCAACTGGTGTGTGTTGTGTGTGTGTGTCGACTGCATAGTTATAGCATATCAAAACATATTGAGTGCAAAACATCGTACGATTCGAAAATATGTATTTGACATGCGCGAGTATTTAATACTATTCATACAGAAAAATAACAGGAAAATAGGGTGGCTTGTGAAAACTTAACGATTCCGTAAGTGTTTATATGACATTGGCGCAACAATTTTCCAGGATGAATCTTATACACCCTAAATGGGGGAAGTTTTTTCTCTTATATTCCATATGCAACTAAAAATCAGACCATCATCTTCGGCTGTGCTATTTTATCGTACGATATTTTCGTTAATCAAGCAACACACTAATACAGAAATGTAAGAATGTGTATGAGAAATATGGAATGATTGAACTTCATCATGACCAATATATTCGTAATAATATGGGTTCAAGTAAACAAAATGAGTACACACAACAGTCAAAACACCGCATCGGTAGCGTGAAAATGTCAACCTCTTCGTACTGTATTGTACATTATTATCCCAATTTCGATTAAAGTTTCGAAAGAAAAGTAACGCAATTGAATCGCGCCTTTCATTCTTACCATCCAGTTGATAAAAATATTTGTTTTATTCAAGGCTCTGTTTGAGTCAATTATTAAAAATTTCTACACTTGCATTTGCCATTCATTTCGGGCTTGACTTAGGCATGTGTTAAAAAAAATCTTTGCTCAATTTGATGCTAGAACATTCCTATTTTTATTGTTTTATTTTTACTTTATTCGGTATAGAAAGTGTATGACGTACGTGGATTTTAAATCTTAATCAATTTACTTTAATATAATTATTGTTCGAATAAAACGAAAATAGAGACAAATAAATTGTATGATTAAACTGATTAATTATTGTTGGTGCTTATCATATGACCTATTGATTTTATAAGTGAGTATAAAATAAGTTTAATTTTAATTTGTACAAAAATAAGTAGGTTGAAAATTAGCCTGAATTGGATTTTCATACGTTTTCCGTGAAACGTAATACTGATTTTTGGTGTAAAATTGATGTGTTTGTCTTTTTCCAGATTTTTTTAAATTTAAAAGCATTTTGAAGAGAAGTTCAAGAATATTTAAAAAATAAAATTTTTCAACGTTAGTTTATAGGTACCACATAAAATCCATCTTGTGAACGAAACCATCTAATTTGATCACACAATTGTGAAGCATTCCATGAACGCTTTTTGAAAAGCTTTTTGAAAAAAATGAATCATAAATATAGAATAATTGGAATTTATTCGAAAATACATTTCGCACACACATTTATACACTGGATTCTCTTAAACAAATATTATAAATATAAAGAAATTTCGCAACCGTTAACTGTGAAAAATACTTCGATTCCTTGAAATATGTTGACAATTAATGTTTCGTTCAAACTACATCTTGAGAAAATTGTTGGCGGTTTGCGATTTTCTTTTCAGGATGTTTATCTGCATTGTGATTACGTTTAGCTGCATTAAATGCCAAACGCTCAACCAATATCAGTCAACATATTTAACTGAAACGATTATAACATATATAGTTGATTACAAATAGATTGGTAACTGAACATTCATTGTCAACTTTATAAAAGAAAGCATTATTTCACTTCTCTGTTTTTTTTCAATCTAACGCTATAACTTACCAATAAAACATTGCTGAACATTTTATCAATTAACTTCTTTCACCACCTTGACTTCGTCATGTTCATTAGATTGGATGGATTTCATGACATGTATAAGTTAATACAAAAAGCGCAATGAATTGAATCGCATGGACTAAAGTCCATTTTATGATATAAGCTTCCACCTTATGCTTTGTTTGTCAATTAACTAGTAATCGTTTGCTATTTTTTTCTCTCTCTCATGTCACTACCATTTTATTTTGATTAGATAAGTTATGTGACGTACGATTGAAATCAAATCGTTATTTTATTTACTTTTAAGTCAACAACAATTTTTTGTTTCTCTGGTTGAAGAATGACTTTTTTGATGACATGTTCGAGGAAGTTTTCAGTCATAAAAATTGGGAATACATTATTTTTAAAAATGTTAATTATGCAATTATTTGCCGGTTCAAAACGTTTAACTAAATTGATTTCACTTCAAATTGTACAATATTAAAATGATAATTTTATAAGTGGCTAGTAGCCACTGGCTACCGATTTTTTTAAATTAATTTTTGATGAAAACAATTCAAAAATTATTTATTTTAATAAACGATTATGAATTAAGCGGTGGTCCTTGATTTACAAGTATGCAAAAATGCAAATTTAATCTGTTGCAAAAATAATCAATTGTTTTTAAAGAACTCAAATTGTTTTATCATTTTTGTCATGAAACTCTTATTAAGTTTACCTCAATTATTTATATTATTTATTGGACTTCAATTTTCTTTCCAATTTCAGATATTCATCGCATGATTGGAGCGACATTTTTAAATAGAGAATCTAAGAAATACACATAGTATATGCGCCAAACTTCTACGCATTGAAATTAAATCCACGCCATTTATTCAACTTGTTAAGAAATCACGTGAAACAATTATCGACATTTTCTTGTGGAATAAGCCTATAAAACATTTAAAGATGTTCATTGAGGATGACGAACAGTAAGTTTTTCTTATCAATTTTTTTTCAAGATTTTCTTTTTTAAATGTTTATCAAAACGGTATTCATAATGAAATGAAAAAATGAAATGAAAAAATGTTGAAAAACTTCCTTAAAAAATCTGGCTTAAAAATCGATGGAATTTTATCTGTTGATAAATCTGAATTCAATTTCGAAATTTATACGCGTCATTTATACAGATCCTTCATTCACATTAGCGTATCCATACATCACAAGGAATTACATGTGATTTGCAATCTAGAAGGATTTTTATGGTTTCCCACACAGTTGACTCACCTGTATGGCGCTAACTCATATAATTTTTCTTTAAAGCCATAAACAAAAAATGAACGCAGACAATTGCATGTCGAAGTTGTTGTGCAATATATTATGCTCGACACATTAAATCAAACGACAAAATATGCTATTTAGTTTTAGTTCGAAACAAGTGGCAAGGGAAAACTTTTTCAAAAAGAAAACAATTTGCGTTAAACGTTTAACGTCATTGGAAACATACCGTGAACGTTAGCTCTGTTGGTGTGTATGTGTGCATAATTCTAAATCAGCTATGTTTCATTACTGTATTATTGAGTAGCTGGCCGTTTGTGTTTGTTTCAGTCTCTTTTAAGTTTACAGTGGTACGTTACAACATATTGTGCATCGAGTAACGAGTTTTGTACTTGTGTTTTTGTTTTTTCTTTGCCTTTACATATCGACTGACAGATAGACACACACGGCATTTTAAAATTTTCCTTTTAGAAAATCTATCAGTCTATAAGTGTCACCGCACCGAATTGAGCGTGAACGGTATAATAGCAAATCGGGAAAAATTGAAGTAAAGAGTTTTTTTTTTCATTTATTTTAACTTTCTTCATACTGATTCCGTTTTTAAATGAAATTTTATTTACAAAGTAATAACTAATTTTTATGTGATTTTTTTTAGTATGGAGAGCATTTGGGTGCAGACGGCGATCAGTGCGATTCGCGTTATTGCATTCGTTTGCGATGTGATTACGTTTCCTGTATATTTAGTCTTGCAACAACCTTGGAAACGACGACAACAATCCAAACGGATCAAAGTAAGTAATTCAAGACTTTTTTTAATCAAAAAAAAAAAAAAAAAAAAAAAATAACGGAATAGAAAAATGCCTCCTTATGTTCCTGTTTTGATATTAAAATAAAAATGACAAACCTATCAATAAACTTTTTATGGTGTTTACATACGTAAAACTTTTGGGTACAAAGTTCGACCAGTTTTAGCGCCAATTTTTACAATTTCCCCTTGAGACTGTACAGAGTACGATTTTTATCTGTAATTTCTTTCAAATCAATACAAAAATTGTTACTGAAATGTGGCAGTCGATTAATTACTAATACTATTAAATATTTGTTTTAATTTCACTTCAAACATGTGAATGAAAAAAACTCATCACTCATCAAATGTTCAACAAAATATTTAACAAATTTTTAATTTTTCATTTGAACTTCAGGCCAAACCCATTTCGGCTGATGACAAACAAGTAACATATCGTTCGGTGGAACCGCCACGTGAGATTCACGTCAAAATGGTGCAAGCGAATATCGATACATTGGAAAAAGTAAGTATCGATAACAATTATAGCAAATGTGCTAAATGTACTAAATCAAATACGGTTTTGTTTCTAAATTAGATGTTAACATATGTGGCCAAAATACACACGACCAAGAAATGTTTGGGAACCAGAGAAATTCTGAGCGAAGAAGATGAAATCCAGCCCAATGGTCGTTTGTTCAAAAAGTATAATATGGGTGAATACAAATGGCGTACTTTTACCGATGTCGAAAACTCAGCAACAAACTTTGGTCGTGGATTACGTGAACTGGGCCAGGCTGCATATAAAAACATTGTTATATTCGCCGAAACTCGAGCTGAATGGATGATCGCTGCACACGGATGTTTCAAGCAAAATATTCCAATCGTGACCATTTATGCAACTCTCGGTGATGACGGTGTTATCCATGGTAAGTTAACAACACAAATGCCAACCATAATAAAACCGTTCGCTTGACGGTGATTAATTTATTGTGTGTGAATTATTCAAACTATAGGAATTAACGAAACTGAGGCAAGCATTGTTATCACAAGTCATGAGCTGATGCCAAAATTCAAAACATTGCTGGCTAAACTTCCGAAAGTACAAACTTTAATTTATATGGAAGATCAATTGAATAAAACTGAAACTGACGGCTTTAAAGATGACGTACGTGTATTGCCATTCAATCAAGTGATTCGCATGGGCAACGCAAGCAAAACTGTTGCAGCTCCACCAAGCGCCGAAGATATAGCCATAATTATGTACACATCGGGTAGTACAGGTACTCCAAAAGGTGTATTACTATCGCATAAAAATTGCATTGCAACTCTTAAAGCATTCTCCGATGTAATCAAAGTGTATCCCGAAGATGTTCTCATTGGGTAGGTTGCATTCGCTTAGTGTGTAGCTAGTTTCAATCAATAACTTGGCTATTTACTAATCTTTACATTTTACAGATTCTTACCTTTGGCCCACGTTTTTGAACTACTCGCTGAAAGTGTATGTCTATTGACTGGTGTACCAATTGGATATTCAACGCCCACAACTCTTATTGATACTAGCAGCAAAATTAAGCGCGGCTGCAGAGGCGATGCATCAGTGCTAAAACCAACCTGCATGACTACCGTACCGGTAAGATAACTTCTTTTTTTTGCATTTTCGAAATCAATTTTGTGTTATTCACAAGTGCACTTCTAATTTGAATATGTCCTTTATATACAGCTCATCTTAGATAGAATATCAAAGGGAATAAACGATAAAGTCAATGGCCAGGCACCATTGCAAAAGGCAATTTTCAAGTTTGCATATGACTACAAAAAGATCTGGACACAAAGAGGCTATGAAACACCAATTTTGGACAAGTAAGAATTCAAATGTGAAATATTTCGATCGAATAAAAAAATATGAATAAATTCCATATTTTATTGATTGCAATAGATTGATCTTCAAGAAAATCTCAAAGTTGATGGGCGGTAAAGTTAGAGTGATGTTGGCCGGTGGCGCTCCATTATCGCCAGACACACACGAACAAATTAAATTATGTTTATGTACAGATGTCGTTCAAGGCTACGGATTAACTGAAACAACCAGTGGAGCCACAGTTATGGATGGTAAGACTTTTCTTATGTACAAATATATTTAGTAACATTTTGTAAGAAAATCAAAACTAATCACGACTCTCATTGTCTTATGCAGCCAAGGATATGATTTCAGGACGCGTTGGTGGTCCGACCACAATGTGTGATATTCGCTTATGCACATGGGATGAAGGTGGTTATCGTGTCACAAACAAACCACATCCACAAGGTGAAATTATTATTGGCGGCGATAGCGTGTCACAAGGGTATTACAAATTGGAGAAAAAAACTGCAGAAGACTTTTTCGAAGAGGACGGACGAAGATGGTTCAAAACTGGTGATATTGGTGAAGTTCATCCCGATGGAGTACTTAAAATTATTGGTGAGTCTTAAATCAGATCACATGTCCTGTGATGAGCGTCTGCATTACAACCGAATTTCATTTGATTTTAGATCGTAAAAAGGATTTGGTAAAATTACAAGCTGGTGAATATGTGTCGCTGGGCAAAGTTGAAGCTGAATTGAAAACATGTGCGGTTGTCGAAAATATTTGCGTGTACGGAGATCCATCAAAGCAGTTCACCGTTGCATTAGTCGTACCAAATCCAAAACATTTGAAAGAGCTTGCGATCAAACAAGGCGTCCCAGACGCTGAATTTGAACAGTTATGCTCATCACCTGTCATGGAAAAAGCAGTGATAAAAGAATTAGCTGAACATGCTCGCAAATGTAAGATCAATTTAGACACAATACCCAAACTGTTTAACCAATTAACATTTTTGTTGCTGTTTTCAAAATTGTAGGTAAACTACAAAAGTTTGAAGTACCAGCCGCTGTTACGCTATGCAAAGAAGTCTGGAGTCCTGATATGGGCCTTGTAACCGCCGCATTCAAATTAAAACGGAAAGATATTCAGGATCGCTATCAGCACGATATTAATCGAATGTATGCATCATGAAATTAGCACATAGGTTAAATACAAAAACAAAAAAAAAATATAGATGAACGGTGAAATTAAGTCTTAATGCAAGTATATGTGTTTAAAAAAGAAACAAAATAACGTAAACACATAAAACACATTGAAAATTCTCACACATACACATACATATACACATTAATTGTATCACCAAAAACTGTTGTATAGTTATTTGCGATAAAAAATAATAATTATGTAAGATGAAGTAAATGTAATCAAATTTAATTTGCTTAAGAGAAACATTGAGAGAGAGAAAAAAAAACAGAAAGTGAGAAAAGCTATTGGAACTTCCTGTACTGTTAGGAAACGAAACAAACAAACAAAAATAAAATAAAATATATTTATTTATATTTATTATGCTTTAAAGAGAAGTGAGTTCTCGGTGAATGACTGATCAAAATGGGGAATTGTTTTTACTTTCAATTTTCTGTATAATCAATATTAAAATTACCAAAATTCGCATGAAACCATGACCCGCCCCCCTCCTTGTTTAAAATGGGATCAGTTTCTATAGTTGTAACTATCGTATTAAAAACTGTCGCTTCGATCAGCTTTATTATTAAATCGATTTTTTTTGTATAAATATATGACATCTCTCTTTTGCTTGCGATATGCAAAGACATAAAAAAAAACAAATAAGTAAGATTTTCTCGATAAAGAGTACTAAATTCTCTCATGTAGTGAAAATACGAATTCCCCATTAGATATACGATGGACGGATAAATGTATGAATCAATTTTCTGATTTATTCTAATAAACTAAAAACAAAAAAAATATATTGAAGAAATAAAAGATAACACTTCAATAAAATACTAAGTATCACAGACAACTATCCACAATATTGTCCCAAAGAGAAATGAATTCAACATCGCTAATTAAACTTAATTTTAAATGAGAAGATATTCCGTCCATTTGACACACTGAGCGTGCAAACAAACATGTGAACAGTACTTTTCAATTGTGTGTTTGTGACACATATAGTCATCATCACATCGTTGAGTCATACTTTGTTTGCCAAATGGACAGATTCTTGTATGATTTTACTTGTAATTCTTTAATTTTTATTGTTAAATTCGATTATTGTTACTTGTAGGTTTGTTTAGCAAAAAGAAAATCAATAAAAAAGTATGCAGTAAAGGACTTTTTGAATTTTTTTTTTTTCGTACAAAAATCTATTTTCTTTTTGAACATGATTAGAATTGAGCACAATGTCTTGAACAAGTTGCAGTGACACCCAAAAAGAGATTAAAAGTGAAGCTAAGGTTATATAATTGGTATAAAAATCAGTTTCAATGATGAACATAACACAAAATTCGAATATATAATATAAATATCTTTTAATTCAAACGATATGGCATCAGTGCTGCCAACAGAATACAAACTGTTTTTCATTTTATCAAAATGAAATTTTGCCGCTTCTCCAATCTATTATTATTTCACTTCACACGTTGTATTCTCCTTTTGCAGCTGTCATATGACAAATGTATGATATGTCAAACATTGAATTGACAATATGACTGAATAAATTTTGTATACATCCATCGTATTTCTTAAAATTCACAGTGATTTTTTGATCGAAATTCGAACAAATAAATTAAGAAATGATAAAATATCATTTGATTGTGACTGATTAGTGTATAAATATACTTTTTGATTTTATTTTTATGAACTCACAATTGATTTGAGTTTCTATCGAAATTTTTGTGTTTGCAGTGTACGAATAGAATGCAAACAATGTTAATTAATTTAGTAGCAATCTTGTTGTTATTTTCAAAATTGATCTTCGCTGGCAGTAAGTGGTATTTTTATACTTTGTATAATTGTAATGCATATAATATAATAATATCTTTTTTTTTTTTGTTTTGCAGTAAATAACTTACACACATATGATAACATTAGATCGCACGATATTTTCTTCGAAATTCTGCAACCAGAAGATTTGGAATACACCTATAGGTTGAAGCCAGCCAAAGATTTTGGCGGAACATTTACGGACGACACCTTCAAACAAAGGTCACGTAATCTTTTGGTGTTTGCCGAGCCACGTGAAGCGTGCACAGCACTTGAAAATCCACATGAGCTGTCCGGTAATATTGCATTGATCGAACGTGGTGAATGTACATTTGTAAGGAAAACCATTATGGCAGAAGAAGCGGGAGCGATTGGAGCAATTATTACCGATACACGAAGTAATTTCAATGAAGACGTTTTCATTGAGATGGTTCACGATAACACATCGCGCAATACGAATATACCGGCTGGATATTTATTAGGTAGAAATGGACGAATGATTATTAGTACATTGGATCGATATGGTTTAGATAGAGCTATCATTAAGTTACCAATTAATCTAACATTTACACCACCTGAACTTATAAATTATCCACCATGGACCATGGAATAACGGAGCAAAAAAAGTGTTACCACCAACTTACAAGAAAGACACATCGCTGTGATTGGAATGAAACTTAACATCGTAATATCTACATAACATGATAACATTTATCAACTTTAACAATTTATAGAAAACACAATTACGGCAGAAATGATGCTAGTCAATTAGAATGAAACAAAGGTGTGTGCGTCAATATGAGCAATTGTAAAATATAACAGTAAAGCAATCTAATGGTATTAAAATAATTGTGTTGAAATAATGTTAAACCATATATTGAGTTTTATTTTATCGATAATTTCTTTTTTAAAAACCAATAGCAAATACTTTGTGATGAGAATCGATCGCATTTCTTATCTCAAAACATGCATCAAATCCACGTTGTTCGAACACAAAATATTTTTTGTGATAATGATCAACGATATAGCGTATACATATTACGTCAGACTTAAATTTATAGAATTTTGTTATATTCCAGCGAATATTAATAGAATTTATACAAAATTTTAACCATTAAAAGACAAAGGATCAGATCTTCTTATCACTGATGCAGATATACTACACAAAAGAAGAAAAGAGGGGATAAATTACAACGAAGGGATCAATAACCTGTTAAAATTGAGTCTACCTTCCCGTACAAAAAATATATGGAGAACAAATGACAAATACTAAATGACGTGATATGATATTATGTTGAAGTTTATTAGTCATCGTTCCAAATGTCTAGTGTTGGCACACCAATTTGAATACATATATTTAAATTCACAATTGGATTTACTTTAAATCAGCCGGTGTATATTTGTATGAGATTGGAGACTTTTTTTTGCGAATCTCGCTAATGAGCGCCATCTGATTTTAGTGTGAATTAGATGCAAAAACTGAATTTAATTCTGTAGCATTGAAATGAAAAAGTGAAAAAACAACAACAATAGCACGGCCACACAGAGCTGTACATCTATGCGTGCTGATGCATACATACACATATACGCTTTCTTCATTCTTTCATTCCATTGCTATACGTATCTCACTGGTCAACAGATCTATGTAGCCATGTTACTGTTGTTGTTTTTTTTCTCTTTTTCGATTCAATTCATTGTAACTAAATTGAGTTCAACTATGGAATACAAGATGGCACAGATGAGGGGAATTCGCATTTTGTCTCTTCATAGGCTTAGCCGGTTGCTTTAAATAATTGTTAGAATTCATTCATTCACAAGCAGAAACAATTCTTGCACTTAAGAGGTCCAAATTCATTCTTAAGAGCGGTCAAAAACTGACTTGAAGATGGTGCTTCAGGAATCTCTTTAAGTTCTGAAAATTCGCATTCGAATCTTTTCGATACTCGTTCACACCTTGAAATCAATCCTTTCAAATATGGTCCATCAGTTTTCCAACGATTAAGGAACCTTTTGATTACAGGAAGATCACTTAATTCGGCAGTTGCCAAAGTTATCATTTGATCTTTCACCATTTCTATCATTTCCTTTGGTAGTGGAAAGGAGTTTTCAATTCGTTTCGACCACTCTTTCACAATGCCATCCAGTTTTGCCAAATCTTTTTTGTCCGTTTTTTTGTTTTTTCTCAATTGTTCCTCATAGTAAATTTGATCAAACGGTTCAAGGACAGATTGATAACGATCATACCTAGGATAAAATCACATAGAAAAGAATGACCATAATGGAAATTAATCAATATGTAATGCAAATAATGGAAAGAATAAATAGGATAGCAACGATAACATACTCTTCCTTGACAAAAGATATCCCTGGAATAAACAAGGTCACGTATAATTCGTTTCGTTAAATTAATTATGTGCTTCAATTAATGTAATTTGAATGGTTTTCCTTCTGATTTTTATACCTGTTTCGAATTTCACATGACCGGACATTTAATTATACATCCCAAAAATTACCACATGTAACATGAAAACAGCATGTCACCCTACTGCCATTGAGACTCTTATCTTATCTGTGCATTATGAGACAAAATAAATAAAGAGTTATTTTGTCTCTTATTATACCCCAATACAATTACACAAGAGGGGTTTCAACAGATTGCATTTGCCGGCTTTTGACAGTTCGTGTCATATCATTGATGCACTGCATTCAATACTATGTGAACCAAATAAATTTGAAAATAAAAACAACATAAATAACAACTAAACTTAAATATTAGATGGCTAATAAATTGATTGAAATTTATCATTGAATTTTTTTAAAGAATACGTTAAGAGTCATTTTGTTTTATTTAGAAAAAGAAGAAAAACTTCAGAGAATCTATTGATTTTTCACATATTCAAAATTAATCATTTTCAGTTGTAAATCAATTTTTTTGACAATATATAACAAATAAGAAAGAACTTCTGTTGAACTATCATAGTTGAGTGTTTGTATGTGGAAAGAATACAGAAAAATAAATCGGTCACGGAGTGTTGTGAAAATGAAATTTTTTACTTTATTATTTTTTTTGTTTTGTTGTGATGCAAATATCATTTTGAACTTTGACCCAAATGTTCAGTTATATAAACGATTGCCAAGGTTTTGGACAAATAGTGGCTTATCACCATCAGCCCCATTGCCATTCAATCGAACCGATGTTGCACTCCAATTATTGACTGAGCATATGCATCGAAATATGGAGTATATATCAGCATTGCCGAACTCAGGAATCAAACATATACGCATACATTGGCTTTTATCGTTAATAAAATTCAGGTAAATCCATTTAGCGAAAATAGGCAAACCACACAAAATATTCATTTTAAATTTGATGTTCTTGTCAAGTGGTTTTGATATCAACCAAGTACCGAAGTATGATTTCACCGCATTGGACACATTTCTTGATCATTTGATGGAAATTCAAGTGTTTCCTGTAATTGAACTCATGGGCGACATTTTTCCAGTGAAAGATAATATTCACGGCATATATTTTATGTGGAAAGATTTTTCATTTCAACTCGTTTCACATTATTTGAGTATGTATTTTCCTACAACAAAAAAAAAATATAACAAAAATTAAATAAATTATACAATTTTAGCAAGATATGGCCAACGAACTGTATTAAATTTTCGATTTGAATTATGGAATGAACCAGATGTCTTAAGCTATAACATCCTCAACTACTCATTAACTGGTAAAATTCTTCTAGTAGACATGCACCGAAGAAATCCGAAAAAAAAATCATTTTTAAATGTTATTTTTAAAAGATTACTTGGAATATGCATACGGAGTTGCAAGTGGATTGAAAGCGGGTGCAAGACGAATGAATTCGATGGCAAATATTCCGCTGCGAGGTCCGGCTGGTCTATTTAAATCAATTGAAAGACATAAACTCTGCTATGGGCTGTTAATGGCCTGTAATTATAATGTCTCCTCGTGTCCAATAGACGTTTTGACATTTCATAGAAAAGGAGACAACAGTTCAACCGCTATATTAATGGAATCGATCGAACTTTTGGACATTTTACGCGAAAAATATCCCAATCTCGATTTACCGTACGCAAATTCAGAGGCCGATCCTTCGAGTGGCTGGTCAAAGAATGTAACATTATATGCCGATGTGAACTATGCTCATACAATTGTATCAATTGTTTTACAACATTGGAATGCAATTTTGGATGGCTCATTGAATCGACTCGAATCCATAAGTCATGATAATTCATTTCTTTCATTTCATCCGTTTGAATTTTTGCAGCGAACTATGCTCGCTAGATTTGTTATGAATAACACAGAGCCAAAAACAGTACACTTTATTCAAAAGCCGGTATACGCTGCATTGGGGATGCTCAGCGCCTTAGCACATACTGCAAACAAAATGGAAACGAATAGAAATGTGAGCTATGTTCTCTCGATCGGCGAACAATATGCAGCTGCCTTATTATTCAGCAACAAAAATACACTGGACGATCACATTGACATCAAATTAGATTTAAATTATTGGACAAAGTCGCCAAATGCAACATTTGGATATTTCGCAGAATTTTTAGATCAAACACGCACAAATCCGCATTCTATATGGACCTATTATAAAAATCCACCATACCCCAACGAAACGGTTTTCGCTGAAATGATGCATGCACAAGTAAGCTATTTCACAGTATTTTCTACTTTCTTTAAAATATTTCCAGAATTGAAAAAAACCAAAAAAAAAAAAATTAATGAAAATAATTTCGTTGTTTGAATAGGGTCCACACGTTTTACAAAATCCGAAAATAGTTGAAAATCAGTCATTCATCAAATTGGCCATAACATTTAATCATCCTTGGATTGTTTTGGTGCGAATTTGTGCGGCATCAATATCAAAACCACAAAAAGTAAAAAATGTGCGAATCCGTTCAATTGATAAAAATAAAATTTTAATTTTATGGAACGATTATGAATACTCGAACAACGAACGTTGCATACGAACTTATGAAATATATTACGCAGCCGTGGCAATGCCCGAAAACACTGATCATCAAATGTTGCAGTGGCAATTGATAACATCGAATAAACACATTCCATTTCTGTCATACTGTCATCAAATCTCAACTCCAAATGAACATTTCGCGGGTATGCAAATCAACTAATAATGAGACATTATTATTTTTTTTATTAATGGCAATAATGAATAACAAATAGGATACTATAAGATTCGAGCGATTGACATCTTTGGTCGTTACAGTGAATTTTCTAAGATCTACAAATACAAGATGAAAAGCAAACAAGTGAGAATGTCTTTGAAATTCGTATTCTTGAAAATTGTTGGTTTTATTCATAATTGTTGGTGCATTTCAGAGTCAATTAACATAGAATGAAATCGGACCTCTCTATAGTGATAAGTGTTATGGTGTTTAATTTATGCTTGAAATGTTATCGCTTCTAACGGGAATTATCGGCGTAAGAAGAGATTTGATTTTGTTAAACATCTCTGTGAGCACAAACAACACACAGCAGTTACATTGTGAGTATGACATTTTACACTTGAGTGAATTACATTGATTGTTTTCATTACAAAATTGCACGTGCTCCTGTGTCAAACCTTGTTCGTATTTGTTATTATTGTTATCGTATCAATGTTTGATTTTCACCTTTTTTTAAATAAAATTTTGTGAATATCGAAGGAAAAATACCAAAAGACAAATGTGAAAAAAAGTAGACCGCTTATCTTCTTCGATGTGAATGTGTTGTTACTTTTTTTAATAAAGAATTTTGATTATCTGACATTAACATTGAAACAGATAGAAGTTCTAACACTATCAATTCAATGAATGAATGTGGCGGAGAGTGATGTTTGTCAGCGCAACATTTATTTGATTGAATATGTATCGTGTTAGAGAATTGAATATTTAAAAAGAAAGCTAAAAACATCATCAGCACGTCTCAGTAGACATTTTTTTGCGTCTTTAAGTGTGTAATTGTTTATATTTTCAAATGTTTTACGTTCGATATTTCTTGTTGGTTTGATGTCTATATTCAATATTTCATTCCAAGTTATTCGATTTGTTTTAGTAATGGAAAATGATCACAACTAGTTCGGAAGAATCATTAATCGATGTACAAGGAAGCAGTGGAAGCCAACCGGAAGGCTCTAATTCAGACTTGGTTCGATTGGATAATGAAAATCTTGATGATATTGTAGTGAGTAAATTTTTTTTAAATTCAATTTGAATATTTTAGTTGTAGCATTGGCAGAAAGGCGTGTCAACACTATTGACGAGAATACATTTGGAAGCTCATGTAATTTTACCTGCATGGTTTTTTTGAATTTACATAAAACTGATCTCGTATTGATCACACTTGAAAAATGAACTCCAATGTGTCAGCGTTCCATAGAAATAATTGTTTTGATTGAATTGTAATGAATTTGTGTATTGAGGCCCAAAAAAGTATACAAAAAATTATATTATTTTCTAGATTGATTATTTAATTGATTCTGAACCAACATCCGCCATACTGAGTTTTTGTCAACGCAAGGTGAGAGCAAAGAATTTGAGAAATCAATCAAGTAAACGAATTTCATTTATTTGAATAGTTTTTGCTGCCGTATGTCTACATATTAAGTTTGGTGGGTTTACGTCCCATTACGATTGATACATCTGATTTGGTCGCATATTTGGGTCACATTCAAACGGTATTCGTTGTTGTTATTTTAACCACAGGATATTTCATACAATATTTTTCGTACTTTCGGTAAGTGGTTCGGTTTTCTGTGGTGCTGATGTATTATGTTCAATTAAATAATCGTTTCGTTTCAGCCGCGATCGAGGATTTACGAATACAACGTATCCACCGATCGAGCCACCACTCCAATTTTCCTCACCAAAACAAGTGACCGCATACTATGGAGAGACAATATTTGTATATGGTGTATCGAGCATTTTACACTTTTGTGGATTTTTAGCATCGACATATGTATTCCGGATTGCTGACAATGAACAACTTCAAAATCTGGTTGAACGCGTTTTCATTTTACACAATTTTCCCAATAAATTAATCTACATGTTATGGTCACATATTGCATGCGGTATTTTATGGTTAACGCTCATGACCTCGCATCTAATTGTTATGGAAACTGATAATATTGACGTTATGAAAATTATATGGCTCGGTGAACCAACCGCAAATACACAAACAATTGCAAAAATTTTGCTAGTTGTAACAACATTCGCTCAGGATCTTCTACAAGTTATTGTTTTAACAAGCTATTCAATACAATGCTATTTACTTCGACGATACATATCAATATTGCAAGCAAAATTATTACAGAATACCATTGATTCTTTGGACTGGATGCGAGTAAGTGCATATCGAAATTTTCACGTGACGATACGTTTCGTTTGTTCATATGGCATTTTTTGTTTTGTTTTCATATTTCAGGAAATGAGCGAATTTCGGAAACTGCTCTCTCATTTGAATACAAAAGTGGCCATGCCTGTTTGTCTCTTCACCATATTGAATCTATCATATACTTTCTCATCAATTGTGTACTTTATTAAAATTTACAATCAATTTACCAACAACAAAATCGTCATAATGGCCGTTATAAATATTTTACTATGGCTCATCTTAGGCCTTTACCCATTTTTCCAAGTAAGTACAACTAATGAGTTCAATAGATCCAATTCGAAACGATTCAATACACATTACCTACGTTTGTTTTCTTTCTAAGGCAGCCGCACTAACTTATGCGTGTGAATCAGCACAAACATGTGGTCATCAAGTACGAATCAAGCCATATGTACACTATAATACATCTTTAGAAGAGCTCAATTCAATCCTTTTATATGCTTCATCGCTACGTATGAGCGCAAAACTTTATCGAATGCCAATTCATGGCAGTTATGTTTTTTTCATTATCTTATGCATAGTTGTATCAACGCTTACATTTGGGATGTGCCTTAATATTTCTCTTGGTATTGTTCAGCCGTGATTCCTGTTAAAATTTAAAAATAATAAAAAAATACATTGATTCGTTAAACTTAATTGCAGTTTATTGTTGTCAGCAGTTTTCTTCACTCGAATTTTTTATTTCACATAATTCCGATTCAGCCAATTGAATTGTTTTTGTTTCATCATTAAATCAATTTATAATTACAATTAACCTAATTTGTCCTATTATAATTATCAATCATCGACTTTTGGTTTTTTAAATTTCGGTTCGGGAAGTGAAATTTTTCGTCGGTGTGTCTTAGACTGGAATTTGCGTTCAATTGTTTTCTTCACGTTGCCATAGTATGCAGATTGCATATCGTCATCGGTGACATCTTTTTTAACGTTTTGGTCCATGGCCGCCTGTTTGGCATTTTGTTCTAATTCCAAAATTCGTTCAATCTCTGGATTCATTCCGCGAAAACTAAATCGACCATCGTTTAGGTTTTCACACGGAACGTAACTCGGCTCAATTACGAAATAACTTTCACTTTTTCGCATTTTGTCGGTTATCTCATTGGAATACATTGCTCGACTTTGGGCATCGTCCTCCTCTTTCAAAACCTTCTCCTTGGTTCGCTTCATGAACTTCATATCCAATATGCTTTTCGATAATTTCACTTTATTTCGTTCTGACGCCATGTTTTTGTCCGATTATTTTTTACGTACTACTCTTTAAATGAATCGTAGATAGTTTTAATTCAAAAATGAATTTAACCGAGGTATAATAATCTCAATATTCACAGAGGCGATGCGTACCGTCAAAAACAATGCACACTGTTTGCTTTGACAGTTGAATAATACACATGTGCCTGCCAAAGTTGTCACTCTACACACCATTTAAATTTCATTTTATTTCCAGAAATATTTTTTTAAATTCTATGTAAAAAATTATGAAATTTGATCGGCATAAAATTATGTTTGAATTTCATCTAAATAATGAAAATATTGCATTGTAAAAATATTGTAAGAATGAAAGTAGATTTCATATTGTGAAAAAATCGGTAATGTAGATTTGTGAAATGGATTAGTTTGAAGTTTGATGTATGATTTCATTCATTATGACATTTCTCAATCAACAGTCCAAAATAAACTTAAAACTTTCATACAATACAAGCTTTGTTTGAATATTTTATTTATTTCAATACGAAAACATTAACATAGTTTGTCGAAACGGATATTGACGCAAAATGTTCAATCGAAATAAAAAGCAATCTGAACCGAAGAGAAAGCATGATTTATCACAGGTAAATATTTACCCTATTTCGTTAGTGACCAATCTCAACGGAGAAAAAATGTATATATGCTATGAGTCATAGATTTTATGGATGATATTTTATAAGCGTAATAGAAAACAAGTTCAATAACGTCATATATTATACACTTATTTTGTATTTTTATGCTCTTGTTTTTTTTCTCTCGATTAGTTTGGAATTTTCGATGTGCCCGATCTCGAGAATCCAGATGACGATGACAGCGGTGGTGATAGCGATTTAGAAGCTGAATTGGCTGCCATAACGGCTGGTGACAAGAAAGTTAAACCGAAACCAAAACCAAAAGTAATACCACAAAGCGATCTGGATAAAATGGTTGCAGAAAGCTTACGTGATATAGGTTGGTATATAAAATGCATGACCATTGGCAAATATTTTACAATGAATTCGTTGTATATTTTTATTTAAGGTTCGGACGAGGAACTGTCAGGTGATGATGATGATCCCGATTTGCTGAATGAGCTGTCGGAGATAACGGGCAATGAAGACATCGAGCCAGAAACGACACCCACGGAACCTTCTGCACCGATTCAGCCTGTACCAATTGAGCCAGCTCCAAAATTGGACGAACCGATATTGCCAACAACAACAGTAAGTACTGTTGAATTGCTGAAAAGCCGAATAGAGATGTATAAATTATCGGAAAAAGTCTCAAAAGAATCTGGTGACAGTACTAAGGCACGTTCACGAGCTCGTGGTATCAAAACATTGGAATCAATGTTAAAACAGGCATTGGCTGGCAAAACAATAAATCCGGATGATATACCGCCAGTGGTGTCAATCAAGGCACCGAATGCACCATCTGCGCCAGTTGATACAAACCAACAGCCAAGCACAGAAGCACAACCAGAATCAGAACCACAGAAAACGGAATCTGATTCACCAAAAACAATACAAAATCCACAATCGTCAACTGTGAATGAATCGAAAATAAATGCTCTATTAGAGAGACAAGGTGAATACAAAAAAGCTGCACTGGCATCGAAAAGATCGGGAGACACAGCAATGGCGCTTCAATATGTGAAAATTATCAAAATATTTGATACAGTATTGGTTTCTGCTCGTAATGGCGAAGAAGTAGATTTAAGTGACATGCCTCCGCATCCAAGTGAACTATCTCTTGATCAATTGAAAGTGGTTGATGAAGTTCCAACACTTCCACCAGCAAAAGAAGAAAATACTGTACAGCAGTCAAGCGACGAGAAAAATGATAACGAGAAATCAGATGAACCGGCTGCTCCAAAGCCAAAAGCAGTTGAATTGCCACCACCTGAAGCACCCAAAACAATTCTGGAAGCATTAACACAACGACTTCAAAAGTATCAAGCGAATGAGACAAATGCAAAGGCCGAAGGAAATGATCGCAAAGCAAGACAAAATGGACGAATTGCAAAGCAATACCAAGACGCTATTCGAGCGCATAAAGCTGGTAAACCAGTTGAATTTGATGAATTACCAGCACCACCAGGATATCCACCGATACCGGTTAACACTACACAAGCGCCACCATCAAGACCAGCACCAAAACCACCGGCGCCCGTTCCTTCCGGTGCACCACAATCGGGCGAACCTAGCACAGAAAATACGTCATCAAAACGGTCTCCAATGAAACGACAAGATTCAAGAACTAGCGGCAACCATTCAAACACAAGTGTCATGAACAAAACGATTGAAATCTTGCTGGACCGTCAAAAGGATTTCAAAGAAGCAGCTCTCGAAGCTAAAAAGGCGGGCGAACTTGAACAAGCTAAGGAACTTTTGAAAACATTCAAAGGCATCGAAAACTTATTGAACGTAGCCAGAGGCGGATTACCCGTTGACCTGTCATCGGTTAGTGTATTTTAGCATATTGCGCATAGAACATTTGGAATTGAAAAAAAGGTACATAAAAATTACATTTTTTCTATACTGTATTTAGCTACCGATTTCACCAAAACAACGGGAAAAACTTAATGATACATTTGAAATGTTGAGTGACACTGAAGAAAATGCAGCGATATCAGATGACTTGAAGAGCGTGTACGAACATTTGGAAAAACAGTTGACGAAACAATTTGACAAATGCAAAGCTTGGAGGTTTGATTTATTTTGGATCTTAGTTTTATAACATTTATTTCAATTTAAATGAAATTTTCATGTGAAAGCGTTCATCATCGGAATCTGGGTGATGTGGCTGGAACAAATCGATTTGAGAATTTAGCAGTAACTGTCCAACATGATTTGGATATTGTAAAATTGGCACATCGAAAAGGTGGCAGAGTACCGAAATTTCGCTTCGAACAAAAAAGTTTCAACATCGTCAAATGCAATACAGATTTGGCCGAAACCGAACTTGAAATCCAAGTGGTGCGAGGCATTAGCTACAACGTATCGAGACCAAAAGATGTTGATACTTATGTAAAAGTGGAATTTCCATATCCACAGGTAATTAATTATTATGAAAGGAATATCCGATATCTACTTAATTTTTTTTCTTTTGTGAATCAGGAAACGCCCTATCGAAATAAAACGGCAGTCATTTATGACACCGATAGTCCAGAATATAATGAAAAGTTTGTAGCCGAAATTCAACCAAAAGTACGACTATGCCAACGAGTATTCAAGCGACATGGCATCAAGTTTGAAGTCTACATCAAGGGGTGGGTGTAATTTCTTTTCAATTTTTCAATGTGTATATGTATATATTTCTTAGTAACTAAGTATGGTTGATGGCACAGTATACTGAAAAACGAATCTGCAAGATAGAGAACATGAAAACTAGACCATGGCCTTTTTTTGCACCGAATGTTCTATAGTATTCTTATTTCGCTTCATTGCACCTACACACCAATATTACATATTTCCTGGTGCAAATTTAGTTAAGGCCTTTTTGATTGGTGATCTTATGTTTTAAAGTTTATTTTACATTTATTCTCTTTGCATTGCCACTAAACACCATAACACATTTTATGTTTTCATTTTTATAAGTTGCTAGTGAAGCTCTTCTTATTATTTGTCGTATTTATTCACCAATATTGATACCATTGACACGGTTAACCCTTATGTTTTAAACTAACAACTATTAATATTTGCAATTGAATTTTCCGACGAATATGATGCTTTATCTGTGCGTAGCAAAAAAAATTACTTACCATAAAATATGACATAGAATTTTGTAGCTTTCATTATTTTCGTTTGCTATTCATTTTATTAAATTATTGACATTATTAAAAAAAAAAATAAGAATCACAAATCAAAAATATTTAACGTGGTCATCGATAGATGTTCATGCTGTTCTGTAAGCCATCTGTTGCCATGCACGTGTAACACAAATCTGTTGTGTTGTTTTAGTGGATTCCTTCGATCGGACACTTTGATTGGAACGGCAAATGTGAAACTGCAACCATTGGAAACATCATGCGAAATTCATGAGTCATTTGATGTAAGCATCTACCCAGATTTTTTTATGGTCAAAAACTTTAACCGCGCTCTCTTTTCGTTTCAGTTAATGGACGGTCGAAAAACTGTGGGCGGAAAGCTGGAAGTAAAAATTCGAGTCCGAAATCCAATATTATCGAAACAAGTGGTCAACGAATCTGAAAAATGGCTTGTTCTTGAGTGACAAATTGATTAACAAATCAAAACCATATGGATAAACAAATAAAAATATGTGGCGGAATAGTTGTTATGTTTGTGAAAATGTTATTCTTAAAGAAAACCATCTTATTATTCCATTTTGATTAACATGTCTTTTTTGCAATTATTAAAGTATTGATATTGATATGAATTAAAGAAAACGCAAATTATCTGTTCAAATTGTAGATTTTAATGAGAAGAAGAAAAAAATCGATGATAAAAAGTAAATATTACAAAAAAAAAAGAAAAACATTCTACCAGTCATCTAAATCTAAATCTTTTACGATATCAACGCCGTCATCAGCAAAACTATCATTGTCACTGTCATCTGCGGTGGTGTTTGCAACTGGTTTTGGTTGTTCAATTGGTTGTTTCTTGGACTTTTTCTTTTTTGGTTGTTTTTCCACTTCAAGCTCCTCTTCGTCTTCGTCGGATGGGAAGAGATCCACTGGACCATCTGATTTTTCCGTACTAGCACTGTTTGCTTTGCGCTTGAGTATTTTGGGTAAATCAAATTCATCCATATCCTCTGATTTAGTGGCACGACGTTTTTGTACGGCAACATTTGTATTAAACCAATTTTCATAATATGTCAATAATGGTGTGCCTTTATTGCGAAGCTGAGCTTCCCATGCACTAATTGAAGCAACATCACGTAGTTCGAATGTAAACTTTTCACGCTCGGTAACAACATATTTTGAATTTTCCATCATTTTATCGACCAACAACTTTAGTTTACTGCGATAGTTGGAATTGATATTTTTACCATGTTTTAGGTAATGTTTGAGTTGTATTATCGCTGGCACAGCCAAATCCGGATAGCTAATTGTATGTGATTCTTGTGCCATATATTCCAATGTACAACCAACAATATTTTCGATGACCTCATCGCGTAAACCATTTTCTTGTAATTGATTTTGATTCAAACGTAAAATACATGAAAATGATAATGGTTTCATGGACACTTTTGAATGGCGTTGATTGAACGAATTCGATTTCAATACTTCTAGAATGAATGGCAGCACCGGAATAAATGTACGCGTTTCTTTCGACAATTGAATTAAGGCTCGAATACAATGGAACCGCAATGGAAAGTATTGTGCAGTTGGAATCAATTTTATCGTTCCGGTAATGATGCTCACCAATGGATAGATTAATGGCTGCAATTGAGCCTTATCGCTAGTTGTTGCCAATAGTTCGGACCACAAACGAATTGAATTGATATACTGCCAATTATAAACGGCTTGATAGCTTTCTTTTTTCTTTAGTGTCATTGCATTTCTCAAATGAATGGCCAATTGTCGTATGTACAGGAATACATGCTGATAAGATACGCTCAAATCGAGTGCAAACATTTCACTGAGCGAACGTCGCATAAAATTAATTGCTGGCATTGTGTTTGGACTGACAAATTTTGAGTTTCGTACATATGATAAATACATTGCCTTCAAAACGGTACTCAAAACGGTCATCTGTTGACTTCGTGTAATACGTAGAATGCATAAAAAGGCAAGTACACGTACTGTCTCCTCACCAGTGCTCCAAATAGTGACGAGACGCTTTAAAATTGGCTTCAACAATGACGTAAATGATATTATCATTGGAATCGACTGATGAATGTGTTTCAATAAAACAACCAAAATGTTTGACGACGAAACTTGCTCCAACAGTTTGGTAACATCAGTGAAATAGCCACGCAATGAACTTTTAATTTTATTCCATTTTTTGCACTTATGTGGTTGCAATGCCGTCTTTTGATGTAAACCCAAGAAACGACGAATGGCCGGCTCAAGATGTAAAACACATAATTGTACAACGCCGTTGAATGCAGCGGCACCCTCCACTTGATACGCTGTCACCGACGAATCTGTCTCACCGGCCAATGTTAAAAGTGTTGAATTCAATGCCAAAATGACATTTTTTATTATTTCCAATGGCACACGATCTTGAGCCAATTCACTTTGCCATTGCTTCAACAGTTTTAATGTTATCGAATTTTCTTTTCGCGTTGTATTATTCTCGTCTTCGAAATCACTCTCATCGCTTGCCACATCCAATTCAGCCAATGGTTTGTGCACCTTTTCTTCGTCATCATCATCGCTGTTCTCCTCATTCTCATTTTCATCATCATCCGATTTTTCCGATTGACTGTCCTCATCTTTTTCGGCACTCTCATCAATATCCGGATTGAATTTTAGAAGTTTTTTGTCATTTTGTTCCAAGAACTATTCGAAAAAAAAATATGTTGTAATTAATGATGAAATTACATGGCTGTGTTATCAATAATGTTACCTTGTAAAATTCCGGATCGATTTCTTTCAGCTTATCCAGCGATGCACCGTAATTTTCATCGTCCGAACTGTTGTTGGATTGATTTTTGGACTTCTTTTTTACTTTTTCAGCTTTAGTATCTTTCGTCGTTTTCGCTGTTTTTATTACTTTTTTCAATTTCTTTTTCTTTTTCTCCGGCAAAACCTCGTTGTTAGCCGAATCGGATACATCGTCTTCTTCAGCCCATTTTGGCTTTGCGACCACCTTTTTCGTATTCAATTTTTTTGTTTTCATAATTAATCGTAAAATAAAAAAAAAACTCTATTGAAAAATATTGAATAAACGGTGATTTTTCAATATATTTGCACAACTTATCACTTTGAATAATTTGAAAAATTCGATTGATGTACTCGATTCACTTTCAAACGCACCAAACTATCAAAACGACAACGTGCTTTTCAATGTGTGTTCATTGCTTATACATATTGACATTTCACTCAAAAGAGTCGAGTCGATAATGCAGGGCTGTATACCATTCGAGTTAGGGTTGCACACCGTTGAAATGTCAACTGTCATTCGGTGTTGAGCGATTTGTTGTTTTTGTTTTGTAAGAGCACCGAGTGCTGAACGATAAGAGCAATTACCATGCAATCCATATCAACTGTTCGACATTGTTACCGCACAAATGGTGTAGCCCGGTTTCTTAATTTTGTCCAAAGATTTAATCATAATTCAACGATTGATACAAATGATGTGGAACATCATTCAAAACTAGCTGACGGATGGTGGAATCCCCAAGGACCAGTAGCACCGCTGCATTCATTGAATAAAATTCGGTACGAATCGAAAATATCATTTAATTCTAAATTGCTTATATTCTATTTTATTTTTTTAAATAATCATAGTGTGCCATTTATTCGAGATGGATTGGTTGGAATAGCCGGTATAAATAAAGATAAAATAAGTTCAGCAAAACCTTTGGAAAATGTAAAAATTCTTGAAATTGGCTGTGGAGCTGGCATTTTAACGGAGGTACGAAGTTGATATTTTTCAAAAGAGTATTTATTAACAATACCCAACTGATGTCATTCAAAAACTTTTTTTTAGCAATTGGCTCGCATTCACGCACAAGTTGTTGCAATCGACCCCAGTGATGTACTCATTCAAACCGCCCATAAACATTTGCAAAGGTATCCGCCAAGTAACGAATTATCCAAACGCATTGAATATCGCTCTGAAACAATTGAAGAACACAATTCTAGAACAAGTACAAAGTATGATGCAGTCGTTGTATCTGAGGTGCTCGAGCATGTTGATGATAAAGAAACATTCTTAAAGTTATGTACAGCACCGCTTCGATCTGGAGGATCAATATTCATAACCACATTTAATAAAACTACGTTGGCATGGTTGGGTGGCATTGTATGTGCCGAATATATTCTTAATATGATTCCACAAGGCACACACGACTGGAATAAATTCATTTCACCAAGAGACACACAAAAACTTTTAGAACAATGTACGTAAAATGAAAACATTGAAATTGGTCTTTTGGAATTGGGGTTTACTTATCGATATTTTTCTTCCAGGTGGATGTTCAACTGTCATTTGTAATGGATTTTTATATGAATTTTGGAGACAAAAATGGATCTGGACCAAACACAATCAATTTTCATATGCATTGCAAGCAGTGAAGTCATGAAATATTGCATTTGATAAATTATTAGCATTAAACGCATGATTATGAAATGTCGCATTTAAAAAATAGCTGACGATGAAATAAAATCTTAAATAACGGAAAATCTTAATGGATTCAGCACACATTTTAAAATAATCCATTTATTCAATATTGTATTTTCGCTGTAAGAATTAAAAAAATCTAGATGGCGCTTTGAATTGTACGAAAAATTCAAATGTGAATTGATGTTGATTTTTCATTGTATTTACTTAAAAACCGAAAATTGTGAATATACGTTTGGATTTGGTTACCCGTGGATACGAATGCATATGCGTTTGGATGTTTAGCAAAAGTTCGAGATATTTATTGACCTACAGATTGACGGATACATATTCTGCTTATAAGCATAAATATATTTTTATGGTTCACAAAAAAAAAAAAAGGAAAACAGTACACATTCATTTGACCACAATATTCATCTAATGTACGCTGAATCATGCTTAGAATAGCAAAATCTTTTGAAAAATATGAACTCAGATATGTAGATGTAATGCGTTTGACGTCAATAAGAAGAAACATATGAAAAACTTTTGCTTGTTCATTCTATATTTAAATTCTTCCACAAACTTCACTTTAAGAAGATCGATTTCCGCTTGCCATCAGCTGCCAACACACTCGATGAATATGAGAAAATATTCAACATATAATGATAGAAACAAGCAATGATTTATTCAGAAAAAAGTCATTTATTCATTTCGTCCAGAAAAAAATCAAAACATTTATGATAAATTATATGAAATCAATTTGCTTGAAAGTATATATTTTATGATGTTTTCTTTTCAACTTGAAAAACGGAAAGCAAACATCTAACAGATCATGAAAATATTTATGAACGAACATATACGACAACAAAAATCACATTATATACAATGAAATGTTTGTGTCATGGAATTTTCCATTGACTGCAAAGTGCTCAAAATATTGTTCTTCAGTTACACATAAACATATGAATTCTTGAATGCATTTTTTTTTAAATCTTATAATCATTTCTTAAATTCAAAGATTTCACATAAAAATGTCGGTAGGAATTTCAAATTGATCGCAAATATCAATTATACGGAAAATAATGAACAAATTGGATAAAAATGATTTTGTTTTGGCACTATAACTTTAACACGATAAATTCTATATATTTGTTAAATGAATGTTAAACGATTATCTAAAAAAATTAAAATAAGTTCATTTTGTTGTGAAATCTCAGTCGTTGAGAATATATGCGAATAGGGTGAAGGACATAAGATTCCGGACGAAAAAAAAACATTATCGTAAGAAAGCTAAAGAAAAAATGTTGTTCGTCCGGAAACCGATGATTACCCTACCCGTATATTTGCTAATAAAAATCAAATTAAAATATTTAAAACACATGTCTTTGAATGTTTCAAATCGAAACAGGAGTTTTTTTTTTCTTTTTGATATTCCATTTGATATCTATATCTTCACCTGTTCCTTTAATATTGCATTCACCTTGAACATTTTCTTATTTGATGTCACACGAACAACAACACTTATTATAAGTTATAAACTTCGGGAATGACACAAAATCGTGAAAAGCGTGTGATATAACACATCTCTTGGAATAGGATTGAGAAAATAAATTCGTTACATCTTACACTGTTAGCGTCAATATAAATAAGTTGCATTTAACGAGATTGTATTTTTGTTTACTTCTTGCACACATTTGAATTTTAGAATCTGGTTTGAGTTTATCTGTCATTTAATAAAATATAATTATTTTCTCTAAACATTTGATTTAACGTTGCTTATTCGAATGGTTTTCATTTTTAGTTTGAGTGACAAAATACCATACATGTATATATATTACCAGTGTTTTTGCTCTGTCGGCAGAAATGCAATTCGCAAAATGTCGCTCTTATTAATCGCTGACAGTCTGATTTTTTATTTGGTTAGTACGAATTTGAAAATTGGCCATTTTTGTTAATTCAACGATGGCCAATTAGATAAAATATTTGTTTACTATTTAAAATTACATTAGTCTCAGCAATGAGAAAACAAATAGATAAAATATGTGAAGATTGCATATAAAAGACACAAGTAAAAAGGTGGCTGTAATAAACACCGGGAGTGTAAGGTCATACAACATCACATTCTTTGCTTTTCTCATCAGACGACATTTCATTGTTTCAACTGATCTGAGGGAGAATGAATTACAAAGTGTGCGAGATATTACCCTTACCACCATACATTTCTTTTAACCACACATAAACGAGAACAATCTTCTTTGTATATTGATGAAAAATAAAATTATTTTCGGTCGATTCAGATGGTAATCAATCGATTTATCATACATGTATGAACATTATGCATTCGAACAAAATTCAATCAATAAAATGTCTTTAACATCGTCATCGATGTATGTATATAATGTTTGATTTCACTTGAGCGTTTTCTTTTCATCAATATTCTTTTTGTGTTTCCTTAAGACTAAACTTGACATTGCTTAATTGGTTAAATTGCATTTTAAGAGATAGTCATGATTTCGAATAAAAATCGTAAAACATTTCGGATAAATTCATTTCTCTAATCAGATACATTTTTAATAATAGAGAAATAAAACGGAGACAAAAAGGAAGTTCTTTTATTTCTCTTACGATTATTATTATTATTATTATTATTATTTCGTCAACAGGATGAACATATACATATACACGATATTTGCAACTGGTCGCATTTATTCTTTTAAAAGATCCTATCAACTTATCCTTTATTCTAAAATATCATTCTTGTCCCCTCTCCCCCTCAAATTCAGGGAATATTTCACAAAAACATTTTGCACCCATTTAATTCAATGGTGATTTCAAATACATTAACAAATTTCTTCAAGAAAGAAAAATAATACATTTGTCTACACACACGAATCATAAAACACATGAACTCATTTCTTCACAATAAATATTATTTTAAATGAAAGTATCACAACGAACAAGAGGTAATATTCATTATACCTAATTTAAATGTTAATAATAACTAAAGCATCTCAACACCAGTATTGAATTAATTTGATAATTTTTAATACATTGCTGGAACGTCAGCAGTTATGTTAATATAGTTCATTTAGAAAAAAAACGGGTTGACATAGTTGTTGATTCCTTGTATGAAGTTTACCCAAAGGGAAAAGTAAATTTAATGGTTTCTCTCAGAGCATATACTACGCATAGATATATATCCTGGATATATTGTCAGTATCCGATATTCATTGGAGCCAGACTTTGAAATAGAGTAAAAACAATAGAAGTTATTGTTATAGTGGTTGTAGTAATGTAAATGGTTTTATACTTAGACCTATAACAATCACTTCTATTGTTTTCACTCCATTATAATATCTGGCTGCGATAAATATCGGATACTCACAAAATATCCCGGATATATATCTATGCTCAGTATATGCTCTGGTTTCTCTTTTTGTTTGGTATCTTCTTTTAAATCGTTCAATTGTAAATTATTTAATAAAAGAATTTCATTATTGCATAAGCAATAAACATCTTGTCGAATGTCGTCTCGCTTAAAATGGAAATATGATGTTCGATGAATTCTTCGATTCATTTAGAGATCGCATTCAAATTAGTTTGTTGAAATGATTCTATTTCAGAAATATTTTAATTGAGTTTCTGCTTCCTATCTAATTTATAACGATAAACACATTTTATTTGCCACACATTCAACAGTTTTTTTTTTATGAGAAATGTTTTTGTATAAAAAATACGATGAGGTGTATATGATTTTTAAAAGTGGAAAATACAAAAATTGGATACGACTTTTTTTTTCACTTATTCAATACATTAACTTCCATCGAAGATTTAATGATTTTTATTATGCTTCATTGTTTTGCTCTTTTGCTCTTCTTTCTATCTTTGTCTTTCTTTTTTTGAAATTAAAAGCTCTTTCCCGTTTCCCAAAACCTCTTCTTTCGACTATCTCGACGTCGAATGCGGTCTGTAGTCCGATCTTTGCTGCGTCTTCTTTCGGCCGATGGATACAATGCATCTGGTGAACTATCGACTTTTTTCAGCACAATTCGAAATGTGAATGTATGTTTTGGTGAGGCACTAGCCGCTCGACGTGGCGATGGTGAGCAATCATCAAATTCGGAGCTCGATGTCAAATGACTGCTTAGATATGATGTTGAACATGGTCTGGGCTCGAATATTGCAGCGCATCGTTGATCGGTGCAAATAAAACCAGTCGTTGATTGACCGAAATGTGGAAAATGTTGCTTCGTTGGATCGGCAAATGGGCTTCGCTGCGGTGATGTAATGCTTTGATGCTGTTGTTGATGATGCCATTTGCTTGACGAATAACTGTATGAATCATGACTGTCACGCGAACTATAATTTGACGATGTCTGATTGAGTAATGGACTACGAGCACGATGTGATGCCGAATAATGACTTTTTAAACAGTGATGTTTATTTGGTTCGGATATTTGTTTTTTCGCCCGTGGCGTGGAAAAACGTGATGAAGGCGATTCAAAATCAAAGTGAGTTTCAATTGATGATTTACGCAGTCCGGTATATGTAGTTTTTTCGCGTTTTTGAAATGTTTCCACATCAACAATGTCAATTGATGATTTTCGAATATCAAAACCGGTATTCTTATCATCGTTGTCGATAATTTCAAAGCTACTTGTTTGATCTTCGCAGCTAGTCGATTGATAACGTGAAATTTCAAAGCTGGTGTGACTTGATGATGGATATCGGCTCTCAAAACTTGATTCATGATTTCGATCTGTATCAATCATTTCAAAACTATCACCAGCCGAATCCAGGCGATTTAAATTCATTATCTCCGGATCGGTTTCACATGGGCTTCGCAAATTTTCCAAATACGGTGAACGAGGCGGATCAAATGATGATCGACGTGATGGTGGCATTATTTCAAATGTGGGACATTGCAGTTCAGTTTTTTGTTCACCACAACTAACATCCTTGATCGTATTTGCACCTTTTTTCGCATACACTGGTTCCGGTTTTAACACAAAATGTTCGAGTGCATTCTTGAGTGTGTTAACCGCCTCCTCAGTGAAACTTGTGGCATGCGTTAGATTTCCATTGATTGTGATTCCATCATCCTTGATGCTATCAACACTTTCTCTATTTTCATCTCGCATTTGTCCGTGATTTTGTGGCTTCGCTCCTCCCTTCCGCATCTGCACATTATACTTTATATTACTAACTACTTTTTTATTTTGCTTATCAAAATCTAGTGTATTTATGTTGACTATTTGAACTGGACTTGGAGTTGCATCTTCGATTGTTTCTTCACGAATTTTCTCATGTTTTATATATGATTCGCCGACCTTTTCAAATCGAACACTATCTAATTCGAATGTTTGAGCTTTTGGATCAGTTTCCAAGTCACTAATTTCCTCGCCGCTTGATTTTTTATCTTTTGCTTTTTCAACGGTGCGTCGTAAGCGAAACGACATTTTCGAATTTAATAATTTCAATGACATTTTCGACTCAAGTCCGGCCTCGGATAGTTGTTTTGTAACAGCAGTTTTTGCTGCACCACTAGACGCTCTTGGTGCACTAGTAAATGTACTTTGTCGTATTAATGGTGTTGCTGAATTTGATTCAGCTCGAGAAAATGCGGCCGCAAATTTTCCCGTTCGTGTTGCTGATTTCTTGGAAGGAATTCGTACAAAAGCCAAAAGTTCTCTCATCACACTACGCTCTTTCCGTGGCTCATTTACTTCAACTGGTTGCTCCTCTTTTGGAGATTGTTTGTTTTGCGCACCAGTGTCTGATGTTGGTATTTCAGGCGAAGAAGATACATCATACATTTTTTCTGTAATTCCACAACTTTCTGAGGGATTCGATACTGTGATCGGTGGTACATGCAATGTGTTCAAACCTTTTCAAAATAACAAAAAAAGCACAAGAAATTAGAATAAAAATTATTTAAAAAAAAATCTTGTAAATCGTCGCAATTGAAATGTACCTTGTGGAAAATTGATTGGCGATCGACGTGATTGTACTTGTATCGTTGGGCTACGTCGGCCATCATCGAAACCTAGTAATACAGCGGTGGGACTTTTTTCTTGTACGTGTACCGTTGGTGTTGGACTGCGTCTATCAAACTCTGGACCAAAGCCCAGCGGGCTACGATGTCCAGTTGGACTTTTACTATTTCCCGGAAACATTGTTGTTGGACTTTTTCTGTGTTCCAGTAAATCGAGCGGCGTCCGATTACCATCATACATTAGGAATACTGGAGATCTTCGGCCACTTGCAGGACTTATCAATTGCTGACTTGGACTTCTTCGGCCAGTATTCAAGGTCAATGTATGTCCAGTACTATTTTTACGCGAATGAGATGTGCGCAATGTACCTTGACGCGATAAAGAAAATGGGCTCTTTGACGACATACTACCAAAACTTTTACTTTCTTGCTGAGACATCGACACAATGCTCGGGCTTTTTTGTGATGGACTACGTTTACGTTCGATTGTGGTGTTTGGGCTTAAAATGAAAATCAGATCAAATTAAAATAGTTTTTCTTTTGTTTTCATTGTAAAAGCATGTAAAAGCTTACCCAAGATTAAATGGTATAAAAGAGTTTGGACTTCGACGTTCAGAGGGAGAGCGTCTGGTACGGAAGCTTTGTGATTTGGCTTTGCGGATTTTTGGGAGGTGCTTGGAGTGGTGGTGGTGATGGGAAGAGGGGCCGTTTAGCCTTTGTTAGTTGCTATGAGTCGTCCCACTGGCGGGATCGCTGCCGCTTGAGCTAAGTGTTGTGTTTGATCCATATGGATCTAAAGAACTTTGTACTGACATTGATCGTCCTTGTGATGCTCGCGCTCTTCTGACACGACTCGAATTTGGCGACAAATTACCAGGATCAATACTTGCCGGATCGGCCTGTATTTATTGAAAATTCAAGAATTATTAATTTTTCGAATTGTCTATACAAACATTAAGGCATGCTTTTTTCACTCTAAACAACTTCTTTTTTACTGAAAATGAATTGAATATACAAATGATTGATTCAATCAATTTTACTATCAAATTAATGTCTTGATAGACTTGTTCAATTATTTTCTATATCTAAATCATTCTAAAAGAAACGTCAGAGGTGCACGGAAGCACATACTTCTTATCTATTCAAACTATTCAATGAGGTGACCATAAAATGGAGAATATATTCATATTTACAAGGAGTAAACGCTACATGTTTCATTTTGTTGGAATTAATTTACAGGTAATCGAAAATTCTAGTTAACTGATTTATTTACACAACAAAAAATATTCAAAAGACATGCGCTATTTTTAAACTAACAATCAAATTGTGCATTTTTCAAGCACAACATATTTTGTACATTGTCATCTAAAACTTGATTTATTTTATTGAAAGCAAATATATCATGAATTTTTGTTTAAATGAGGTTACGAGAGAAATCTTTTATATCAATCATAATTATGACCAATAATATGTTCGTCTTTATCAAAATTCAAAATAATATCAAACGCGTAATGTGAATGTATTGAAAAGCATCTAAAGAAAAAAAGTTTACGTGTGTGTGTGGGTGTGTGAAAATATTAATTTACCTGATATGCTAGGGCATTCATAATTATCGAATATGGTACCAAGCCTAGCGGGTGTATTTCTCGCATCAAAACATTAGCAGGAATTTTATGAAATTGTATATATTCCAGAAAATTCCCAACCACTTCCTTCAGCGGCACATTCTGGTAAAAAAACTGTTTACTTTTAGTGCTTAAAGTCTAAATAGTTGTTTGCAAATAAAACTGAAATCAACTCACTACTCAAAATATTATTCGTTGTTTGTTAATATCAAAAGAATATATAAATACATCATAAAGACGAACATAAAATGACACTCATAGGTAAAATCATAAATACGTATATATTTTACTGTGTAAGAGTCTAAAAATTGTATTGATTATTTAAATATACCAAAGGCGCACGTGTCTCGTTAACCTAAGCCAATTGTTGTCAAATGAAAAGAAAAAACCTTCACTTACCGGGTTATTGTCGCAGTATTTTTTGCTCCACATCAAAGCCGCCTGAAATTTGGTGAATTCATCAGCTCGTAACTCTTCACGGGCCAAAATCAAACGAACAACATGTTGTGGAAGCAACGTAAAGCTACCCAAATTTAAAACTTCATTGCCATGCTCATCAACAAACTCAAGTACTTTTTGTACCAAACTTTTCGTACATTTGTATTGAATATAACGTTCAGCCGATGCTAATAAAGCGCACACTGTGTCCACATTGATGCAACATTGTACAAAACCAGCACATGCCCGTCGTAATTCTTCCAATCCATAGTAATCAGCCGCATTCATGACACCAAGCAATGTTCGTGGTTGTAATGTTACACATCCAGTATGTATGTACTCGATCAATTGACGAAATACGTCCGGTTCAAATTCTTCAATAATTAACGTTTGATGTGCTTGTCCAGATGGCTGTCGGTGGTTTGAAACAGACAAAAAAACACAAACAAATCCAATATTTTAATTTGGGACCGAAAGTTTTCTTATTATTATGTGTGCGAAAGATCAGTACAAAAGACAATAACAATCATGCCAGAAACATTTACAAAACAACAGTAGAACAAGGATTTTGTGAAATTCAAACAGCCATTGTTCAATTGCTCATAGTGAGCACATATATATATCAGAAATAGTTAGAAAAATATTTAGTCACAGATTCATATTTTGCCTTAGAAGTACACATATTTATGTGATACAAAGTAATCAAAAACATCAAATTAACAACAAATAGATGAATAGCAAAAGATAAAATGATCCAATACTACTAGAGGAATAACATTTGAAAAAGTTTATGATATTTGCTTATCTAAATGCTTGTATTTTTTTAAAAAGTATTTTTTTCAACTTCAAATCAAAAGAGAATAGCTTCTACAAGTTGATGTACTGTTCGATGATGTCGAATCAAAACAATTCGAAAGTATTTTTCATTTCCGCAGAAAATATTTTTGCCATCAACAATTTCTATTTAAATAATGATGTCATTGAAAAGTGTCCATAGAAATCGTCTATATTACTGATAAGACCCAGATGACTCAGATACACGATAAAATTGAGCGAATGCTTTCGCTGATGGATAAAAGCTTCGCATTCATTTCATTCATTTAAATTCAAATTGAATTATTAAATGCAAAATTACTCCATTCATCCATTAAATAGTTGGCGCCATTGAAAACCTCAATGCGATTGCAATGCGTACTTGGTGAACAAAGAGCGTAATTCAATTGTGGTCAACAATGAGCAATTATTTAAATGAGCGAATAAATACGATATTGCCGAGAAAACAATCTCTTTTGTTCTGAAGTTGTTAATGCGGAAAATGTTTGTATCACGAAGAAGAAGAAGAAGAAGAAGAATACATCTACGAGAAAAAGAGTCATATATTAATCAATACCAAGAGATGCTCATATGAATTGATTGTTTTTTCAAAAAGAGATAGAAGTTAAATACATCGAATTTAAAGATGAAAAAATGAAATGCTCAAAAAACAGTAAGTGTAGCTTTATCCAGGGGGTAGACACCACTTTCATTCTACATTGCCAATACATCTATCTTGCGATGAGTTTACTGCTGTTCATGAATAAATGCTAATTGATACATTCTCAACGTACGGCACACAACTGAGTGACTTGAACTCGGGTGACGATGATAAAAATGCATTGGCTAATGTAATACAAATGCATAAATACGTAGACCATTTGTATAATTTATGGCAAAATGGTTGAAAACTATCTGGTTATATACTGAACGAAAAAAAACCGTGTCTTCCCCCTAGAGCTTTATATATTGATTTTAACTGTTTCTAATAGATGCTAAGAGAGTTTTCATTTACCTCTGGTATTGGAGCCAATTGTTGGCTGAACCCACTTCTCTATAAAGCACATACATAAAATGTACACCCATGATTTTGTTTTTCAGTTTGAAATTTAATTTGATATTGTTTGAGTTAATTTTGTTTTTCTTTTCTTTTTTTAAACTTTAGTTATGTATTGAGCATTTAAATGTTACTCAAATAAATGAAAGAACGAGAACATTTACAATTATATATATATATATATATATAAAACGTATATAAAACATTATGAGGGTGGACAAAGTATAATACATATTTAATATTCATTGTACAAAAATAAAACATCGGAATTTTATGGATATTAATAGAAAATTATTGAAACAAATATTATGAACGTTTCTTTCTCTTCATTTATTTTTTCTTCTTCTCTCATTTGATCTCATATAAATTGAAAAATTTAAAAATGCTTTCAACAAAATTAAATAATAAAACAAAAGAAAACAAAAAGTCTCAACACCATTAGTAGAGGATATGGAATTTTTGAAGCCTGAATTAATGCGAAAAATATCGATTGCATAAATTATGGGCACACGTTAAATAGAAAAGTATATTTGAAATTTTATCGAAAACTTTTTTGTTTATTCTAAGTTATGCTTGGAGAACGTTAAGTTTTCCATTAATAAGACCATGTATATTGTCGAGCTTATTTTCAAGCTATACTGCACACACTACCACAGTTAATAATAACTTGTTTTTCTTTTGTGTTGAAAACCCACATCGAATTCTGTGTGAGAAATGTCGTAATTTATGGATAAATTTTTTATTTCATATCAAACTACAAACAGTGTTGAAATTAAATAATTTTGATAGAGAAACTCCGTAAAAAAGAACCGGTCGATATAGTCGAGACTGAAGATGAATACATTTGAATAACACAAATTACCTGTTGCGCTGCATTTTGTAAATTCAGAAGTGGTTCAGATGAACGTTTCAAAAAAAGTCGAAGTTTATTCTCACGTGGTGGTGGCTCCTTCTTACGTTGTGGCGATGGAGCTTGATATAACATCTTCTGAAATACACGCGATCGAGCCGCTAGTACAGCCTATATTATGTGATATACACAATAAAATCCAAAGTTCAGCATACAGTCATCATATTGGATAATAAAAAATGAAACCTATTAAACATACCTTTACGGCACAAACGGGCTCTCTGGTATCACCAACAAGGAATGTTACGTCACACAGCTCTGGCATTGATGCTAAAAATTTCATATCCTCAGCCAATCCAGTTTTGTTCTCAAACGTTGACAAATCTGGCTCGGCATCGGCCATACTAGATAATGTAAGCACTTCAGGCATTTTGTTTGCTCAGAAGTTTTTCTATCTGTATTCTTTAAATAATGCTATCTGAAAGATTTCCGAACGAAAAGAGAAAAAAAAAAGTTTATCTCTCAGAAAACATATTGGAATATGTCTTGTAAAAATGAAAAATTGAAGTAAATTCCATTTCCATGATTGCATTTCACACATTTTTTTTATCTCATGTCAAAACAGATTTGAACATATATCACTACTGTTGCTTCGACCATGAATATACATTGTACATAGATGAATCGTCTTTTCTGATCCGAAAACTTTATCGATGCTACTAAAGTTTATCGACTATCAAGTTTTAATAAAGTACACTTGAATGCTTGTTTCAAATCAATTGCAATTTCATTTAATTCGTAAATATTGACAAAATGAAATCGAATATACTTTTTTCAGACTTGACGCATCTTTTGTTGCTTCAAAGTTTTTGTGTGATGTCAGAAGCAGTACGGTAACTTCTTTTAAAAAAAATTTGTTCAACTGTATTTCAAGTCCATGTAATTAAGTACTTATATTTTGTTATTAAATGTCTCGATAAATTTGATACAGTGAAGGTCACACCCAAATGTATCCTTTTCGACACAAATTCGACTTTTGTAAATGTTTTTATCTGATTAACAAAATGTGACTTTCAAAATCGCTTAAACTCTTTTCTTTTTCTCAGTCAAAATGTTTCAAAACAACGAGACTTCGTTAGCGCATTTCAATTTGATGCATGTATACATATTGAATGGTAACCAAATTAATGAACTTGAATCTATATGTTGACTGACAATTCAAGTAAATAGAAAGTTTGTATGAAAGTAATAGTGTGTTATTGAATGCTCCTTTTGTCTGAGCTGAAATTATTTACTCGAGTTAAATATTTGTGTTAAAAACCCTGGTTAAAACAATTGAAAATCGAAGGCATAACAATTGTATTCGCAAACAATAGGCATTTAAGGCCAGAGAAACAATGAATATGATATGCATACGTATCTATTTGTATGGACCTACCTAATTTTTCAACTAAGATTCCTGTTTTGTCGGAAATTTTTACTTCGAAGGCAATTGAAAACTTGAATCAATTCTTTGTTTGAAATGATTTAGAGCACTCATAAAATATATATATTGAATTTAATTATATATGTTGTAGATAAATCCGGAAGTATGACAATCGATGGTGCTTCATGAGATCAGTCTCGATGAGATTGGTTGATTTCACTAATTTTTTTTTGTTTCAGTCTCAGTAAGTCAATAAACTTTGCTTTTTTTTATTCTATAAATTTGATGATTACGATGATAATGATAATGATGAACAGTATTACTGTTAAATCATTTTCTATTTTATTTTGATGTTGTTTTATTTTGTAGGTAAATTTCACGAAACCAAATCTTCGGAACAAATTTAAGGTACTGGGTGGTTTACTCTTCAATGTGCGTTTTATCAATCGTTGAACTTTTTTGTTGTTGTTTAACTTAAATCAATTGTTGCTGATAATCTCAGTTCAACAGTGTTTTATTCATCTACTTTTTCGTCTTTATTTTTTTTATTATCCGTCAGGCACTTTGCGAACACTTAACTCAATACCAGCACTATATAAAGAGTAAGTCAACAATTATTTACGTTAAATGCTCAGTTCTTCGTTCATTTATTACACACACTTTTCGATTTTGAACATATTTAAATCAAAATGACTCGATATCGAATCAGGGTGAAAGAGTAATGCTAAGTAAATCACTTTGAAAATTAAATATTGTTCGTTATACTGTATCCGAAGCTGTTTTCACTTGTTACATCTATTTTTTATTTCTGAACATATAGAAAAAAAAGAGTGTACAAATGCTTGCGTATGTCCTGTGTGTGTGTTTGTATCAGTTTTTGTGTTTGTGTGTATGTATATTTATGCGTGTTTTGGTGGCCATACACATAAATGTATGTGCAAATGTGATTGTGAGTATACGTGGTGGTTCAGTTTTCCCTGAGATCTTTAGTTCGGTGTTTATGCTGGATGTGAAACGAGGCGTTTAAGGTTCATTTTTAAATTGAGGCTGTGTGCTTGTGTGAAATGTCCTTTAATAAGAGCGTTTATATATTTCGCACGATGATATTCGCGCACAAGCAGAATACATTTTTAGTTTCTCTTGGGATAATATATAAACATTTTTTTTATTGCTTTAGCGCAATGTTTGGTCTAAATTTGATGTGCTCTTCAATAAGAAAATAAATAAACGTATACACGTTATATGACAACACGGACACATGCTTCTAAGACATGGCCATCGATATGTTTATATGCGCACGTTGGTGTATTTACTCTCGATGTTTGTTGCGTTTGAACAAAAAAGCTCTTTCAATGTCTCTCCATGGCTGTGCCGTTGATAAATGTGCGCATGTCGTGAAAATCCTTTCTGTACGTTTGAATTAATGGGTGCACAAATATTTATTTAGTTTTTTTTTACTTTCTAAGCAGCTAAATGAAAGCCATTTGTTGATTGATTGCTTTTTATATGAATTTATGGATTACATGTGAACAATATTGTAGAAAGCTGATACCTTATTTATTTTAAAATAACAAAACAAAATTTAATAAAATTGTATTTTTAATGAATTTCAATTCTTTTTGAGCAACATTTTAAAATTGTATATAATAATACTTACGACATTTATTTCATCTTCTCACATTACCTACAGAAATGAACAGTTTGTACTTATAGACAGCGTATACACGAGACGGTGAGTCATTTCAAAAACCATACTACATATATGACTATATGATTCAACGCACAAGTTAACTCACTCTTCTAATTGCATTTTCCTGCTCAATGAATTCAATGAACAAATTGTTGTAGGTTTTACGTAAATTCCATCATCCTTGTGTAATAAATTAAATCAGGTAAGAGAAAAACAAAGCAAAGTAGAGAAGGGTGCTCTCTTTGAATTTATCAGATAAATTCAATTAAATTATGAACAGAAACCTATTTCGTCAACATATCTAACCAAAACTCAAGTCGCTGCTTATGTACAGCACTCAGAACGGAATTGTCCGTACAATAATTTTACCATCGATGGGATGTTAATTGGAATTTTCTGTGGCCGACTAATTCGAAACAGCCAAGCCAGAATTTATTCGTACACAACAATATGGAACCCTCCTCCACATTTTTAAGTGTTTTCACAGAAATTCGCACATTTTTTGCCGTTGCGCTTACACGATTCTTAACAAGAATTTCTTATTTAAAAATCCTCTTCGAAATTCTTCCTTAACATCTGAAAACATATTACTCGAACAGGTCGTTGTACATTTGATCATTATGAGTGAGCGCCTGCACTTATTCCATTAATTTTTTTTTAAAGTGACGCACCCGAAAGACCAGCATTTACAAGAAACCCCCGCCATGCCTATAACATCTCCGGTGAGGACTTGAAGTTTCAAAATCTACAAGTACATTCTTTTCATTTCCAGATAGATGAAAACATCATCGCCCCAACTCATACAAATAAAACAAATGATGTTAAATTTTTTCTCATTTTTTCATCAATTTTTATTGATTTCCCACAGATGAATTTTCTTTTAAATTTAAAACGACCGGGAAATATATCTTATTTATTATATATATTTTTGTTTTAAAACGATTGTATTTTAAAGTGTTTATTTTAAATTAAAAAATGGCCATTGAATTGAAATCACAATGTCGAGTACGGCAAAAAATAGAAGAAGAAAAGATCAGTAACAAGTGATTTTAATTCAATGGCCCTTTTTCATAATGCAGATGACATTTATTCAATTGTTATACAATGAAAATTTGACATTTATTACTAGAATCTATAGGAATTTGGTGGTGGAACCATTGCCCATTTGCTGAATGCCTATATCCATATATATATTATATTGTGCAGCAATTTAGTAATTGATATAAATGAATTGGAAAATGTTTGGGAAGCGCTACTTCTTTGTGATTTTTCTCTTTTTTGGAGCGTTTTTGAATGTATTTTGTGATAATGGATGTTGTTGAGTCTAAATTTATAGTGCCAAGCGATACATTTTTTTTAATTAAAATGACTTATGCATAAATTGCATTTTAAGAGTTCGACATTTAAGTGAATATTTTCGAATAATATCGTTTTTCTTCTTGATCATGTATGTACATGATAAATGTGTGGAATTTTATTTGCTTTCGAGGCCACAACGAGATGATGTGTGGATTGTTTTTTTTTTCATGAAAAAAGGCACTTGGATATATTTCCATTCTTCAGCAATCAACAGTTCTTTTTCACTGATCAATGATGATGACGTGAAAAATAACGATGTGTGGAAATTTTGCTTTGGCCATGCTTTTTTTCTCGCGAGGGTTTTACATTTGAAAAGATATTAAAAATGTGGTTTACTTTAAAGAAGATTTAAATAGGTAGTTTTTGTTTCTCATTAAATTAAAAAGTTATCAACAATCGATATGATCGGTACAATTTTTTTTTTGTTTGTTCAGATGATATGATATAAAAAGCAGTGAACTCAGTACGTTTGTACATATTTGCGTTCTACTTTGTTTTTTTTTTTTTTTTGTATAAATATGTATATAATATGTAAATCGTTGTTCAAATAATTAATTTCTTTTTTAGGTAGAAGTAGAATTTATTTTTCCCAATTTTTGATTTCTTTTCAGATTAAATTTACAAACACCGAATTTTTGATTTTCTACATGCACAATTTTAAGATCACCTCTAATACTTGTAAATTGGGAAAGAAAAAATTAAAGTATAAAACGAACAAAAAAAATAAATTAATCATTTTTATTCAATTAAACTTATCAGTTCTTGTCAGCATTTTGATAATATAATCGTCATCCAAATGTAGGAGCTAAATTATTTCATTGAATTGTCTATTCCATCATATTTAATAATCACTGTTTTGGAATGCAGTTTGAATAAGTACACATTTATAAATATTAGATTTAAAAAGAAAGAAAACGTATGTAAAATTCTTCATATATGTGATTGTATGATTGTTCTAAGTTCGAACGTCTAACATAAATAATTCAAAATATTGTATAGGAAAACATTTATCTATATCATTTTATGGAATGGCTAGCACAAATTAATAATATTATTGAAATGATGTATGTACTACAAACATTTGTAATTTCCAACCGGTTTATGTTCTCACATTTGACCCATTCAGAATTTTTTCTATTTTTTTTTTCTTTTATTTTTTCATGACTTTATGCAGTGCAATGTATTGAATGTATAGACTTTCTTGTGCACTTAGACACGATGAAAACTATGGGGCTTTTTGTTCAAATTATCTCAAAAATTTGATTGAAAAACTTAATCCAAACGTATGATGTATTTTATCAATGAAAATCACATTTCTTCCGAACAACGCTGAGTGACAGACCCTATAATAGTTTCTATCAATGGAGAATGAACATTGTCTTTTTTTTCTTTATTGATATAAACTGAATTCAGCTCAAAAGAGTAATTCCATTTTTACGTTGAACATTATATGTAAATTGGATCAATTGATATGACATACATTTTTCTTAACTTTCTATTGATCAATGCGAATATTTTTAATAGATGAGTTTTTTTCCCTAGTTTTAAGCATTTTAAATTAAGATACTAATTATTGAAGAAAAAAGAACATTTTTATTCGATACGTTTATATGAATCGATTCGAAAAAAAAAATACATTTGAAAAGAAAATCACCTAAAAACCTCGTTCCTAATGTATTCGACTTTTATTTACATTTATTTAAAAAAAATATGTTGAAACAATGGAAACAGGAATAGATAGTTATATTTAGTCAATTTTCAACGTACAGTTACCATTCGAAAATTGATTTTTTTTTAATTGTTTATTGCATTTATAATATAATACACGATAAAAACGTCTCCCTTTACATTGAATCTCATTAATCTCCATGAGATGTTGAAATATCACAATAGAATTATATCTCAAGAAAAGATTTATTTCAACATTTCCGTTTAAGTTCAAAGTCAGAGCTTATTGAGGTTCGTATTGATTCTTGTTGGCTCTTTTTATTATTATAAATTTTCGTCGCGGTTGTTTTGTTTCGCATGACGTTTATCATTTCAATCTACGAATTTAAAATTGAAATGTTATGTGGTGTGAGGTGGTTTGACGAAAATTCTATAACTTTTTTTTTGTTGTTGTTTCATTGATTATTGTGTCACATTCTGTACTGTAATTTTACTTGCAATCGTTTACAGTTTACTTGGATCGTAGTTTTCCAGACGCCATTTTTGTGACTCTTTTAAAATGCTGCATTCTTCCATAACGACTTTGTCTTTTGATTCATTTATTGCCAAACATTTTTCAGATGAACCGTGCCGAATTTGTTTGGTGTGTGGATCGTATGACCATAGCTTTAAAATATAAATAATATATCCCAATGATTATGAACATGTTTATAGTAATGATGGCACTTATTTTGATTACCTGATTGCCCTTTGATCCATGGCAAGGATATAGAACGACATCGTTTCCAGAGTAGTCGAGGCAGGCTTCGTCTCGTCGAATTTCCCCAGATTTGCTCAACATCCAGTACTATGGAACATTAAATCGAACGATTTGTTAGTATTTTTTTATATTCCTCATATGGTTATTGACGCAATTTTTGATATAAATCGAAAACTGCCTTCAATTTTTTTCATTCATTTTGAATTATAAAGAAGAAATACATAAAGTTTAAAGTTATAATGATCAGCTAGTTAGTTCGGTTTTGAAATAATTAAGACGCGCCTCTTAAAAAACGTTTAAAAATGAAATAATTTATCAAAAGAAATGCTCAGTTTAGTAGCTTTTAAATATTGAATTTTACGATCGCATAATCGTGTTGATCATTATAATTTTAGACTCTGTATGAAAAATGATGTACTTAACCGCCGAATCCAGAAATCAATCAATTGTGTTATTGTTATCGTTAGAAATTATTTATAAGTATATAGTTTCATCCTTCAACCGCATTGCAAAATCGCAGGACATGCACTTAAGGTATGAGTTTTTGTTTTATTACAATTGTTTTATTGAAACATATTGGGAAATGAGGGAGATCAATTGGAAGTAATGAATAAACAAATGAATGATTTTAATAATTGTAATAATAATTACGAGATAAACCAAATTACGAGATTAGAAAAGCAAATGAAATATATATCGTAAGATATGTCCGATGGATCCATTGGAAATAAAGTTGCCTGATTTTGGGTGGAAATATGAGGAAGAGATACGTATAAGCATTAAACTGTAGTAGACATGGAAAATTCGTAGATCTGATATTTTTTTTATAGACCCTTTACCGCAAAATTTATTAAGCAAAATCGTGAGATTTATGAACAGAACTAAGAAAAAATATATATAGTTAAACTCCAGAAAAAGTAATAAAATAGTTGTTTGTTGTTGTATTTTGTAAAAAGCTTGATAAGTTAAAGCAAGTAAGCGAAAGAGTTATATAAATACGAAGGTTATTTGTTAATGTGACCAAAAACGAATTTGTCTACCTGATTGCCACCTTGGTTGTGACACGGCCACAAACCGATTTCTAAATGCATGTCCTCGGGTTTCGCAGCACTGTCAATGCACATTTCTGACCAAATATTTCCTATCTATAAAACATTCGAAGAGCTTAATGTATGTATTTCATGAATGCAGGTGCAAAATGAACCGTTTCTACTAAATTTGTCGATATTTGCTTCGACTTGCTTTCGGAAAATTAAGTTCATTTAAAACAAAACCAAAAGAAAAAAAAAACAATGTATAAAATAAAAATAAAATCTGTATGTGTGTGGTCGGTCGTCCAATGTTGGATTGATTTCTGAATTTTTCGGTAAGATCACGTTGCAAACACATAAATGTGCCGTATGTAGAAATGCCAAATGCATTTTTTTTAACCTGATTTCCCCCTTGATTGTGACAAGGATATAATCCAACCGCTTTTTTCAAATCCTTTTTTCTTGCCGGCGAATCCAAACATGTCCGACCACCAAATCCTAAATTTCTTATCTATAAAAGATTTTCGATTTATTAAGAACAATTTTTTTTTTGCATTTTTCCACACTTTTGCAAACATAATTCAAATTATTTCGTGTATATTTGTGTCATCTGTAATAAATAATAGAAAGAGTAAATTGATTGAATATGTAAATTACCTCTCCTGATGCAACAGCTTCGCCGGGAATAAACAATTCCGGATATATATTATCCAAATACCATTTGAAACTCTTACATCCCAATTTGCTTCTGTAAATTTTTTAAATCCAAACCAAATGCGCCACATTTTTGAAATTTGTCATAAAATTGGAAATTTATTAGTATTTACGAACCGTAATTCTCTTCGATCGGATACGTCACCAAAGTCGCCTTTTTCGTTGCCAATTCTTTGATAATAATACTGTGCATAATCGTCCAACCAAACTTCGGCCAATCGAACCGAGTTTCGTTTTAAAACATTAACGCCAGAACGCCACTAAATAACATTAATTTGATCAAATATTAGCAGAGACTGTTCAGTTGTTGATTGGTTATTTTATTATTACCTTATATGGGGATCTTTTACGAAAAATATGACCAACATGACTGCATGGCACAATCTCCAGCGTTCCACCGCACATCCAACTTTTAAATGAAAGCTCAAGATTTTCTCCTCCCCAGATGTCAAAATGTGGATCATAATATCCCAAACGTTCGAAGAATTTGCGATCAATGGCAAATAGTCCCCCGGCCATGGTGGGCGAATAAACAGGTTCAGCTGAGCTCTAAAAAAATTTGATTGTCAAGAAAGTATTAATTGAACAGTTTTTTGGGATTTTTTTTTTGTAATTTTGCACATTGTGCATGACTGATGAAAATGAGACTCTCAATCAACGAGAAAATACAAATAACTTAAAAAAGAAAACGTCCAACTGACAGTTGGAAAATTATTGAAGCATCTTAAAACGGCACTTGTATCATAAAATTGATTGGTTAAGCGCTAAATTATCTGAACAAACAATGACCGAAGTTCTAAATTATCTACATAAATAACTCCATTGTTCAGAACATGTGAGAGAAAGTGTATTGTCATCGATTCCAAAAAGCAGTTTTTTGCGAAAAAAATTATTGACCCGTCAGTGGAAACGAATTGAAAATCGTTCAAAATGTGATGAAGTGGTTACGCGAATTAAAATATAGTATGGCTGTCGTCAACAACACTTCCAATGATTTAGTATTTAAAAAAAACCTTCTTTCACAATCTAATTTTCTATGGTCGCTGTTGTCTTCGAGCTATGTGAACAATGAATTTTTTTTTTAACGAAACCGATCACATCAAGCGAAAGCAATTACGAGGCAAAATGAGCGCGTTTGAAATGAAATAAAATGTTACCTTATGCCGTTTACGTTCACGTTCAGGTACAGCATGCCAGTTAAATTGTAAATTCCAATCGAAACCACCAACATTCACACCGCCTGAATCACGCCAGTGATATTCCATTGTTGTATCATCAATAACATCAATGACCGGGCACACAACTGTTGTTGAGTTCCTAGCTATACGATCCAACAACGGTTCAAGCCAACCTATACACCAACAAAAGCAACAGCACAGAAAATTTGTTGAATAAAACAAAAACACACGAAGAACGCTGTTCAACACAATGTAATATATCTCGGCGAAGATGTTTATTGTCATTTAAAGCATTCAAGCTGTATTGAACTCAACCAAATGAACAGAAAAAAAGAGAAGAATGTTTGCATATAAAAAGTATGCTGGATAGATGTATAAATATCTGATTAAGATTAAAAGCCACCTCAAAAGCATACGACTTTTTGTCTTTATATCTTGGGTAAAAAAAAAGAAAAAAACAAATTAATTTAAACACGTCTTTACTCATTTGACATTTTTCGCAAATAAATTCGGTCGATGATTTTTTTTTTCAAATTAGAGAGTTATAAAATAATACAAATACTTTTTCTGAAGCAAATATGCTAACAATTTATCTAGAGGATATTAATGTTTTATTCAAATGAAAATGTCCATTTAAAAAAAACAATCGTATTATCAAATTTCTATATTATTTTTCACATTTAAAAACGGAAATCCTAAATCTTCATAGTTAATCATAATTTTGTAGATATAATCGTGAATGAAGCAAAAAAAAAGAAACCCTAGATCATAAGCATTCTTTTGTTTGTACGAATATTTATTAAAGGAAAACGTCAAAAGTCATCTTTCGCAGACATTTCGAATAAAAATTTAAATGCGACGAGGTAAAAAAAAATAAAAATAAAAGAATACCATTCTAAATAGAAACATTTGACATTATACATACCCACAGTACATTCACAATGCGAATCAAGATAAGTTAGCACAGGTGCTGTGGCATATTTAGCACCAAGCAAACGTGCTCTTATTAAACCTTCGCGTTTCTTGGCACGAATAATCTTAACCTTTGGGTTCGATGCAAAATAGTCATCTAATTGTTTTTTGGTATGTGCTATTGAGACAAAAAAAAAGAAGAAAAAGAAAACAACACAGGCAAAATATTTGAATTGATTTTCGGTTTTATAATTGACATTTCTACAGTTATTTATGGACATGATTCATCATCCAACGCAAACTTTTGAACAGATTTCTTTTTTTACGGTTTGTTGATATTTTTTATTGAAGAAATCCAATTCCGAAAGTTGATGACCATTTTATGATTTTCAAATAAAAACTGTTTTTTTTAAAGAAACGTTATCACTTTTAATTATATCGGGAACATTTATGTTTTGAAATTACCACACAACTAGTTTTGTTTTTAATCTTTATTGTTTCAACCAATAATTATTTACGATGATATAATTATTATAACCATCGTTCAAGACGGTATCGCAAATAAGAAATTATCGAAATTATAATCTTGTTGTATTTGCGCGAAATTTTATTATTGGACTTTTGATTATTAACGGCAAATAATTGCCGACAATTTTCAACATTTTCAGCCTAACTTAAATACTTGACTCATGTAGCTGAGGTTGGCTGCTATTTGTACAAGAGTGAAAAAGATGACTTTGATTCACCTTCTAAATATGAATCATAATCCTATCTTTCACTCTCACTCCAATAGTAGTTGATCTAAGCTAGATGATCTCATGTGGCTGAAAATATCTTAATACACTTTTTGGCCTTGTGTCGAATTAGCAATGCTACTTACGCATATCGGAGTAATCATCAACTAGTATAACGTGACCGATCAAGGGGGCTGGTGATCGATCAAGTACTGAATGAACTGTTCGCAACAGTACCGACCACGCCTCATTATGGAAACAAATTATAATATCAGTCGGTGGAAGATCGTCTAGGTAACGGCCTTTCTCTTTGCACCTGTAACACATGAAATTACATCAATTTCCAAAATGAATCAACAAAAACTCAACGACATCCAAATTCAAAGCCCATTTCCAAAATTCATTACTTTTAATTGTGCACTTTGTTCAATTCAAACGATTTAATTGAATTAAAGTTGATATTTACCATGGATCTCTTGGGTCGGGAAGACTTCGATGAATTGAAATTAAGTCTGACGCATATTGATTGAATGCGTTTTTAGTCCAGCCATCGTCAACGGACTTTTTCATTTCAGCTGACATATTGGTTGGCAATATTACGGGCCGACCCATTTCGCCGGGAGCATCGGGTGAACTCATTGCAGGTGGTATTAAAACACCTTTATCTAAATTTTAAGAAAAAGATACGCATAAATTTTCCGGCACCATGTACATCTTCTTATCAATGTAGACTTGATTGTAAGTAAAAAGTGTTCATTGGGAATTACTTGTCATTGCCTTGATAGACGAAATTGTATACATGCTAATGTTTACAGCATTGTTTGATAAGAAAATTTCTTATTTGACATTTAATTATTCAAAGTTTGATTCGATTTCATCTTAAGCGCAAAAATTTTCTTTAAAAACAAATTGTTAAATATGCATTACAAATTGATATCATTGATTTTATTTTTGTTGTGTATATGCGAAACAAAGACGTCAATTGACCATACAAATTATATTCGCTCAAAATCAAATCATTTAGTTGTGAATAACAAGAATGACTTTACAAATGATCTCATACCAAAAGTGTTTGAGAAAAGTGTTTCTGGGAAAGAACGCGTGAAGCGAGAAGTCGAATTTAATCTTGACGCAGATCATGAAGAAGGCATGGGTACAGATTTGGCCGCCACTTTAAATTTCAATATAATCAAAACTGAAAACACCCGTTTGGATGTGTCTGCACGCTATTCAAAACATTTCAGTGACTATGGTGCCAATGGTAAAACAAAAATCGGCGGTTCGCTGCATTTTATTAAAAATTAGTAGCAAAAAATAGGTCGGATTCTATGAAATACAACACATTTTCAATGCCAATTTCAAAAATATTACATTGATTTCAGGTGGTAAGCCAAGCGGCTTTAAGGTTGGCGTTGAAGTAGAATTCCTATAAATCTAGATGCAGATATTCCAAAATTCTAAACATTGGAAGGTGCCATCGGAAAATGAGCTGTACTTAGAAATTGAAATATTCAGCGCAATGACATTTAAAACAACTTTACTGCCCAACTTTTATATTTAATACTAATAATTGATGTTCTTTCATCACTTGAAAATACTTCTCATCGATTTTTAACTCACCAAAAAAATTCACTCATAACAAATATCGTGATAATCTTTAACGTGAGCCAATAAAATATGTATCTATTGTATAATTGGGTGATAATCACCGCATAACATCAATACAATAAAACCTATTACAGAAATTGATTTATCATTGTTGTCAATTCCAATCGTTATAAATTATGTACAATAACGTACATTTTTTATTTCTAAATAAACCATTCGCTATAGCGTACTGAATTGTTGAGTGATGTCAACAATTTGGAACGAGACACTTTGAAGAAAAAAAAATCAATCAATGATTCATACTCACCATTATCATCCGAAGCCGATTTCTTGATGTCTATTCTTTGACGTGCATTAAGTCTTTTAGGTTTGCCAAAAATATTGCTGTCGTCGTTATCATTATTACTATTTACATTGTCATTATTATTTAAATTGCTTAAAATCACATTATTTGCTGAATTATTTTTCGAATGTTCGTTATGCATCGAAATTTTGTTAAAATTCAGTTCATTGTTAAAAAATGTATCGACATTTTCATTGATATTGTCTATGCTATTTTCGTTATCTTCAACATCGTCAAACTCATTGTTGTATTTCAGTTCCAAACTTTGTGGCCCCGATGCGACCATTGTTGACGTTCTTCGATCCTCCGAATAAATTAAAAATGCAATAGTAAACCATACAGCCGAGAGCAAAATTACGATTTTGACCAATGATGATCGGCGTCGCCATAAGAAACCCATCTTTGTCAGTGCCTCTTTTATTTCCTATTAGTTTGTAGTTGTGTTTTTTTTTGTTTAAATTCTGATTTTTTGATTGTATGGTGCTCGGTTTTATTTGTGTATGCAATTGCAGTGTGTTCGGAACTTTAAACTAAATTGAATGTTTGAATTATTTTCCCTGTTTGAATGAATCCAATTTTTCGTTTTAAACGAAGATATGTTCAAGAAATTATCCATTCGATGCTTCGATTCTGTGTGATGATGTTTTTTTTTTTGTTATCCCAGCTTATTATCCAAAGTTGTTCTATGTTTTGTACAATTTATGTATGTTTATTTGAATTTATGATTTTAATTTATGCTGTTTTATCTCTTCATGTTGCATCTTGGACACAAATTTGGTTTGTCAAATCTATGGAATAATGTGCATGTTGAAAGCTATAAACACGAAACAGTGTTTCATCGACCACATTCGGAATTCGCGAGTTACTTTATGGAACAAGCAATGAATGCCGCTATGAATAATGAAATTTTTGTTGATTCACCCAAATCTTGTGATCGTGTCATGTGATATGGTAGTTGCAGAAAAAAAAAATTGTTTCAAAATTTTAATAGATTCTTTTCAAACAGCATTTTCCTATCAAATTGATATTGCTCCTTTGGCCTACTATTGTGATTTTTTTACTCTGATAACACAGTTTTGTATGTGCCGAGTGTGTATGTGCCAATTATTCTTTTGATATGTCGATCTCTTTCCTGAAATTGAAAAAATAAAACTATTTCACATATGAATTTAAAGTGATCACACCAAAAGCTTGATTTTTCTGACTACAGTTTGTCAAACATTTTCAATTTTGCCGTCACATTTAATCGATCGACGAAGACTTTTCTCACACTTTTGAAGTAACTTTTTTTTTAAATTCACAAAACAATGTAATCTTAGTGCAAGCAGAATTCAATTCTATTTCTAGAATTCAGCGTGGGTGTAATATCCCGAACAATATACAACAAATAGTCTGAAAATAAACAAATAAGTAAAAAAATTAATTGAAATTGTTAATATTTGATTCCACCATTTTCTGGTATAAAACAAAAATAATGAATATTGTGCATAAATAATCAACCCAGTCATTCAGTAGGCTTTCAATCAAAAGCAAGAGACATAAAATGTAGCAACAATTTTTTTTTGCCAATTAAACATCGAAAATATAGATACCCATATACGGATCGCTCTATTCAAAGCCGATGAATATTTTCTCCAAATAAAATTGACTGTCTCTTTACCAAATTGAAATCACTATATCGCTTAGTTGTTGTTTGTTCAAGTTTCCCGTAAAGTTCATTTGATTGATTTTTTTTTATCTCTGGCGTCAAACCAGCAAAATTGCATTCCATTCAGTTTCATGCTTCGAAACGCGATTGTTGCTCGCAATGAAACGTTCTTGTGTGATGAAAAGGCATCAACATTTAAGCTATGAGCAGAAAACTCAATGATTATCGCCTAATTAAGCCCACCATTGCAAAGTAAACAACAACATGAATCCGAAATGCTTCATAAATTATTCATAATTTTGAAGAATGTGTAATATATCAGACATTAGTCACGAGCCTCGTACAACATTTCGATTCAATATTATTAAATAGCATCAGTTGATTGAATTACTAGATTTAAAAGCCACACCTTCACCGTTGCATGTTCGCTTCGGCACTTACGTATGCTATTCTATTGATTTTTTTCTTCAAATTGGCGATGTGTGGAAAAGTGCATAACAGATAAAAGTGATGCGTGAAGGTGGAATCAAAGTAATCTTTCTCAAGAACCAAATAACATGCATTTCAATGAACACAACTCCAACATGCCAATTATAAGTTTTTCATTGAATCTTTGCATTCCATATACCATGAACACTTAAACTGTGATTTCGTCATGTCTTTTTTTATTTGATTGCATTGCTTTTATACCTCAAAAACATGATAATACACTCAACTTAATTTCACATATTCTATTCCTTGAAAAGACATTTTTTGATGCGAAACTTACATCTTCTTCAAAAAATTAATTAGACGACGCTTCAAATCGCTTTTGAATGTATTGAAATGCAACGAATGCTAGAGGAATTTAATATTTTTTTATTGAATACATTTGATGTGGCAAAGAATATAGTGGATGAGCGAAACCTGTTTCAACCAGCTCATATTTGCTTAGAATGACGAAGCATACACGGTGAACAGGTCTTACCAAATACTATAGCACTAAACACTAAATTTAATGCAAAAACAAGATTGATGCATTTATGTCTAAATATGCGCAGAACCAAGTTCTTTTTTTTGCATTTTTCGAGGAACTTAAGTTCATTATCATTTCACTCGTAATAAAGATAAAAAAGAAATCTCTACATCAATAAATTGAATCTATTGAATTCAATTTGGCTTAAATCTGAGCTTTTGATTTTTGGCCACAATGCAAAGGAATATAAGACGAAAATGATGGGTACATTAGCTATGCGGTCTGGCGGCACAATGCTCGACTATTATATTTGAAATGTCAAACCGTCATTAAACCGGTAAAATCAAGACTGACCTTGTGTAACAAAATATACATTATTCAAATATCATATTTTTGTCATATAATATTTTTAACATTTCGTTCAAGTACGAATTTGATTAAAAATGATGCGAAATCAACATTCATATTTTTTTTCCAAAGTAGTTGTCAGAATAGAATGTTACAGAGTCTATAGAAATGATTACATGATGGTAAATTGAGGCGAAAGTATGTACGCAGCCACCGTATCAAGTCATCTGAATGCATATAATCACCAAACAGAACGTAATTGATGTTTAATCACTGCTTACATTTAGTTGTTAGCTGTGATGATTATATTTAATGGTTTACTATTGGCTGCGTTTTATTCTGAACATGAATTCATCACATTTACGTATTCATTAAATTTTACTTCACATCTCTGTTGTGTCTCTCTTGCTCTCAAATTAAAGAAACACGACGCTGTGAAAACAATTTTTTCAACAACTAATTACATTGAATTGCAAGAAAAACACAAAACCAAATGATATGCATCGAGTGACACTTCTTATTCTGTTGTGAAAACAATTATACTTTATTATTTGTTTAACATTCGAGCAATCGTACGCTCATCTCCAGGCTTCCAATGAAACTGAATTTCTCTGATCAAAAAGAAAAATATTGTTGAAGCATTTCAGCAAGTCGTGGGCATATGTTTTGAAGTAAGCGTCTCAATTTTTTGTTTTCGAAATGTTCAACAATTTAAACGAACATATAAAACAAGTTCAATCAACTTTGCGTGAATTTCCATCGGATTAAAAAAAAAAACAGTTGATATTTTCGATATGACATTATGACGCACAGCCCATCATGACATCGGCTGAAATTCTTCAATATTATTTGGACATATCTTTGATTTTTGCAGTTTTTCGCCTGAAGATAACCATACGGTTGCGCAAAAATGTATGCATAACATTAAAGCGTAATCAGTTTTACTTATTTCCACATCATTTGTAATCGTCTCATATAGTTGTTCAATATCAAAACGTTTAAAAATAAATCTGAAAATTTTATCGCTGTGTTGAGTCAACATTGACATTTCCATTTACATTACTTTCTATCATTTATGCCAAATAATAAATTGTATTTGGTTTTGTGTCCGACTCTTTGAGCTTGCCAATGCTTTCACCAACGAAATCATTAAGAACCGTTAAAATAAAAGTGAATGAATGATCAATGATTCATATTTACACAAATCCAACGGCAGCGCTTGGTTTTTTGCTCTTTCAAATCGTAGAATCGTGTGGACACAAAATCAAATTAATGGAATATCAAATCATTTTCGCCCCAAAAAAAAGAAAGAAAGTTTTGCGGGACAAAAAAAACATTGATTTTTTTTTATTCACATCGAAGAGATTTTAATTAATTTACAACTTGAGCAAATGCAAAAATGGTTCTTTTTATTAATATTATATTATATTTTCCAGTGGATGACATATGAATCCAAACCTTGACGGATGTTCAACTAAAGATTATAATATTTCATTATGAATAAAATCGGTTTAATTTCACAAGCATAACGAGCAAATGGATTGTCGAGAAGATCTACTATTTAATGTCATGATAGAATAGATGCGGAAACTTATACAACAAAGAACGAATTTGTTTGTATTGTTTAAAGTGAAGAATATATGATTAAGTTAGCGATGCAGAAAAAAAATATGCATCCACACATTTATATCGAATTCAAAGTGTACGCCGAACATTTCCGGTTTTATTTTGTTTGTAATTATTCAAAATAACATGAAAAATATGGATATTATGATAGATGAAGTCGCAACGCAATGATTTTTCAATTTGAATATTATTATTGGTTTAAAATCGAAATCGCCATCATAAAAGTTTTCTCGAAAATTGCTTTCGACGCAATTCAAAACGATACAAAGCAAAACAACAACATTGACACCATCTCAAGCGAACGGATGCAAATTTGTACTTGGACACAAAAAGTATTTTATAATATGCAATTTTTATCGGAAATTGCGTAAGGTCATTGAACACGCAAATCATACATATTTCATTGAACAAAATATCCCGTTGACCAATTCTATGATGAATATGGAAGCGAAGTATGAAATGAACAAAAAAAATAGTAAGATCATTCGGTGCATTACAGTTGCGAAATACATCACATAAATGTTTTCAGAGAAGTTATTAAAATTTTGCGAGCTACATAACATTGCTGACTACATTTTAATTTTTATTGGAAATAAGAAAATTTAAGCCGAATATACTCTTTTTTCTTCATTTATTTTTTTTTTATTTAAAATCAACCAACTCTCTTCCTCCTCTCACTAATAGATTACTGACGCGTGAAAAAAGTACAATTTTTTTTATAAAGAAAAACATAAAAAGATTGATTTTCCTGTGTATTACGAGAAGAAAAAAATGAAACGAATGATGTTTTATTTCAATTAAATACATTATCTGACATTGTATGGTGGATGTTTATGTTTGTTTTCATATAATTTCAAAATACTCTTTCACAAATTACAATCGTTTACGAGAAGATTATTTTTCTCTTTCTGCACATAAGCAAGAAGACAAAAAGCAATAATACGATCAATTTAAAGTCAAGGTCATTTTAAAATAAATGAAGGAGAATAAACTTTGAAGAAAACGCTTAAACATGTGTAACACATGATAAAACATCTACAATGTGAACAAGAAGCCAATTTCATATTAAGGCCGGTTAGTTTATAAACAAATAAGTGACGCTTTTATGTATCTCTCTTTGTCTCTTAGCTGTGAATAGTTTCTCACACAAAATAGAGTGTCGAACCGCTGTGCCCTTGAAAGAACACCACTGAATCAATCATTATTTTTCGATGAATTGAACTTGTATTAGTTCCAAATGTGTTTTAATCGTTCAACTTCGTTGGTTTTAATGTGTGGTTAAATCCAAAAGAATTGATTTTAATTTGATTTTACTTCACCTTTTTTTCGATTTAATTTTTTATTTAAGTTTTGCAATACGTAAACGTTTTTAGATATAAGCGCAATGCATTTGAGACACGATTTTTTCCATCGAATAAAAAAAAAAAACGATTTGTACTAGATGAATCTACATTTCACAACCACAAGTACGTTGATGATGATTATGATGAAGGCAAATGTGAGGAAAAAAAATTGTGCAAGCCACCCGCCGTGTTCATACACATCATTTGGTTAT